TAGAAAACGACGAATTTTTTTCAATATATAGATGTATGTGTACATTGATAGAATACTTTAACTTTTAAAGTAATATGTCATATGACACCGACGATGATGATGATGATGATGATGATGAAGATGAACTGAACTTTTATGGAAATCAATTATTTTTTTTTAAAAAAATGTAATACATTGTAAACATTATTTAAGCGATATTGGTCATATTTAAGTTAACATCATACTAGTAACATACATAAAACGATAGGATCAACTAAGAGTAAGTGAGTTCTAAACGTATATGACTTTTGAAATAATAAATAATATGAAATAGGAAAATAAAAGGAATTATGATCCTTTCAGTGTTGATGAAATTAATATCATTCATTTCTGTCATTGAGATGGTAGAGAAGATTTGTAGCTTAGGTGGATGATTTTGATGGAGTTTTGTTTTCTGAACTGGATGATTTAGTCATGGAGCTTTCATCGTTCTTGTGAACGATATTATCAGTATAAATTTCATGGAAGCTCCACGACCAAACCATCCAGCTCAGAGAACGAAACTCCATCAAAATGTCTATCATTATATTGTATTTGTGAGATTATTTTATCACAATAAGTTGATGATATTGTTAAATTTTGTAGCTATACATAGTTGAATTTGACTAGTGAGAATTTTTATGCTAAGGTTAACTAGTTGTCCAGTTATATATGGTATTAAATGATTGTCTACTCACTGTACATCCATGCCTTCATAGAGGATTGAGTTCTGGCTATTGATACTTCACAGTAAATGTTTAATCTCAAGGTTATATTCTCAATCCAGTTAAGCCATGATACTGAGTGATCATAACTGAATGTAACTGGTAATGAATGTTTCTTATGCGAGTGTACTTTACCAAGGAGTTGTATATTAAAATGATACAACTGTCCAGTGTGTCCTAGTTTTCACTGATTATTTTGTTAATGTCAGTCTGTGCCTTTAAAACTAATAAGTGTTGTCATTAATCCGGCGATATACTTTAAATGACTGTTACAATGTAACTAACTTTTTAGGTTATAAGCTGAATTTATATGTCTATTTGGACTAATGAAGAAAACTTTCGTTGGATATCCAACATGATCATCAAGAAAAAATATTCATGTAATGTGCTTAATCGATAGTTGGAAAAAATATGCACTTATTAGTGGGGATTTGAATTATCCCTGAATATCAACAATGGAACAATTCAGACTCTTCCTAATAATGATATAAACGTTTTAGACACTAAACAAATTAGTAACTACTCAGATACAGTGACCCAATGTAGAATCCTTTGATGTTTGAAGTGAAAGATATTGGATTCGTGTTCCAACATGGAAATCAGCGCTAAGATTCAGGTGTACCTATTTGATGAATCCAGAATAGGATGAAATATAATTTCGGAAGTCTATTACTAGTCATAATCCATCTATTAAAAAAGAAATGCGAATCACTAAATAAATAAAATACACAGTAATATGGATAATATACTCATTATTTTTGTAGTGTATACTTGTCAAATTCACAAGAAATCAATCATGATGTTAGGATATGATTCATTGCGGACAAACTACAGGATCTTAGAATTAGCTAAATCACATATAGAATAAGTTCGCAGGAGTTAAATCGTTTATGTATACTATGAATGACTTTCTGGTTGATGGAAGACAGGAACTATTTCAATGCATTGAATCAAAGAAAAAGAGAGAAGATAGTGAAAAATGTGAACTGAATGACTTCATCAATAAACTAGTATACATATCGCATATCCTGAGACCATCGAGTAAGTAATGCAGTTGTTAGGAAACGGGTACTAGGTAAGGATGGCAAATCAATTGATGACGTAGTGAAACTTCATCAGTTGAGATGGTTGAGACATGTGTTACAATTATGCCCAACCACCGACTGTCTCGATGTGTGATGTTCAATGGTATAGGAGTATGTCGGAAGAAAGGTAGGGGCGGCCAGACCAGAACAAATCGATGAAGTGACTGACGAGTGGACTGAGTCATGCTGGTAGGTGTAGAATACCTGGTTGGGATCCGCGAGATGATAGCAACCAATGGTTAAAGACGTTGAATGACATGGCTCAAAATCGTTTGCAATGGTAGGAGCAGGTACATCCACTCCTTGTGTTCCCCCAAATTCTAATCTTCTGAACTCTTCATGACCCTTTTTTCTCTTTCCAAATATATTTCACGAGATTATACTCCTTGAATAGTATCTTTCGGATTACTGCTTATACTCTTACTGCCTCTACCACTGGGGTATGAATCGGCAATTGTATATCTGTGCTAATGTGGTATGGCAACTCGAACTGATGTACGTACGTACGAAGTTCTGCGTTGTTACTGGCTGACTGACTGACTGACTGACTGACTGACTGACTGACTGACTGACTGACTAAATATAATGCTCATTCCATCGTACTTTTGTCTAGACTCTATTTGTAAACTATGTTGAATTATTAGTCGTTTGTTTCTTTTAAAAACTATTCATAAATTACAGTCAATGAATTACTAATCTGCTATGTACTTTTAAGTACCTCATTTGCATATCTATTTGTTTTCCTACTGTTAAATTCATGTGAGCTGTGATTCTGAATAATAAAACTGTTCGTGAGCACTTATCTAGAAATTTTTTAGTGGTCCTGAAACATCTAACTTCGATTTGATCGTGTGATTATCGTTATCGACTTATATATGTCACCAGTCCTCGCATATAATTATCGGCTTAACTCACGTTAGTGAATAACGGAATTAAATAAATCAAACACGAGAATAAAGCTTTGAATACGTCTATTTCGTACACCCATTGATCTGGACAGACAATCAGGGGAAGGAAGCAAAGGAAGCGAAGAGAAGAGCGAAGCAAAATGACGCTCGATGAAGAAGGCATGTAAGTCAACTCACAGCATCAATGAATTAGTACACGAGCAATTAAAACGACTCAATTTCTAATCTGACGCATTCAGTAAAGCCAGTGAAGCAGCGAGATAGACATACTTAAATCGTATTATCTTATGGATATTTCGTCTTCGTGTCTATTCTGCTAATTGATCTTTTCGGCGGATCATTCCACTTTGGTTATAACAATCAATCACTTTCGTGGCCCTTCGTTTTGTCACCAATTAGGCCTGATGATGATGTTATCGACGAGATTATAGAAAACCTCACCATTTTAGTTGTACCGTGATCTCTCTCCGATTTGATCGTATGGTCAAAAACTGCGTTTATTTCGCGTGACTCTCTTTGCTTTCTTCACTTCATTTCTCCGATAGTTTGTCAGAATCGACGATTGTATGAAATACACGTATTCGAAATTGGTTCTCGTATTTGACTCATTTAATTCCGTTATTCACTAACGCAATCTATGTCATTGATTATATACGAGGATTGTAGATATATATAAGTTGATAGCGATAATCACATGATCAAATCGGAGTCAGATATTCCAGGGCTACTAAAGATTTAGGAGTGTGGGAATTTTTATGACCTAATGATTTTGTAGTGAATACAATACAGTCGGCGTTCAAATCTTACCTCCAACCAATACAAAGTTGGTGGACTTATTATTTCAATGTGAAGTAGTCATGGATGCAACACGATATAATTAAAGGAATTCAAGAAACTGATTAAAGCTATTATTTTCACCTTATTACTGAGAATAATGGAATTTTAAACCATCAAATCATTTGCATTCGTTTCATTTGCCTATTTTACTTCAAATGATCAAGTAGTATCATTGAACATGGTCATATAACAGTAGTACATAATATTCCCCTACCACAAGCAAGTTAGGTTTTCAGTATGGATGTTAAACGACTCTCTGTGTTTGATCATCGTTGTCTCCGAAAGATTACTGACATCCAGTGTCAACACCATGTTAGTAATGCAGAGGTTCCACATCGATGACAATTCAATTGGTGTCACCATCTTGAAACGCTGAATTCGATGGCTCGGACAAGTTCTACAAGTATCGTCCCAGAAAATTCCTCGTCGTGCATTATGTGCCGACATTGAGACTGGTTGGAAAAAGCGGAGAGGTGATCAATGTATGGCATGGTGTCATGATATGAAAGGAAGCTGCACAGGACTGGCTTCTGTTGGTCCTTCACGACTCCCTGGTTGGGGTCCTAGAGATGGTGTAACACGGTGGCTAGAGACGTTATCATATATGGCTCAGAATAGGAGCCAGTGGCGATCCTTCTGTAACCCCCTTTTACTTTCTTTATAAAAAGTGACCGTACCTTCCTTAACTGAAAGAATTCTTTCTGGTTGTAACTTCCTGTTTCCCCCAGTACTATTATTATTACTTCATTACCATACACTAATTTGTGGTCGTTATTATTCTTTCTTTCTTTTTACACTCAACTAACATTCTTTATCTCTTCCCATTCTCATTATTATTGTGCAGGTGTATACACTCTCTGTCTTACCTTACGCTATAAGATTAAAATTGCTTCATATCATTCTTTCTACGTACTAATTCTTTCTTCCTGTACTATATTCTTACATGCAATCTTTCCTTTATATATTACTACCATTGACTTAACTACTATGAATCCGGTGTTCATCTTGCCGTGCTAATACGGTATTGCGATTTGGACTGATGCACATGCATATGCCTAATCCTACGTTGTAGCTGACTGACTGATTGACCAACTATTATTGTGTGGCGCATATATATATATATCTGGTGCCCCCTTGTACCAAATAAATAAATAAAATTTTCAGTATGAAAGTTATGGCGATAACTGAATTTTATTAAGATCAATAACCGATCTATTCTAAACAATCATTGATCAATATTATATGTTGGATACTTATTTTACAGGTATTTATACATATATCATTATAGAATTAAATACTACTTGTTAAAATATAGTAAATTATACCATGATCAAAAATAAATTAAACTAATAATATATTGAATGAATAAGATTATTATCTACTATCTTTCATTGTTATTCTCTTCGTTCCTTTTCTTTTTTTCTTAGTGAACCCAGTGTATTAATAACTCCTTTTGCTCAAATTTTAACTATTCTAAATCGTGCAAGAGATTTCTTATCTAATTATACTTCAAAGTGAGTTATTGTTGTTAATTTTTTGTTATTATTATCCAAAAAATAAGGAATAACGGTGAACTGTTTAGAGGATTTTGTTTTAAGATGAATTTAATTGATTGAAATCATGAGTCAATTGGAGCTAGACAACCGTGGAAAACCTGGGAACACTGGACGGCCGTTTCATCCTACTATGGAACTCCACGGCAGTGCGAATCCACGACATTCATGATATTCGAACCCAGGACCTATCAGTCTTGCGTGCGAGCGTTTAACCACTAGACCAGTGAGCCGACATTCAACGATGTTACTGTCAGACTTCAATCAATCCAGGCGGGATCGTAGATGATCACTGGTGTAAAGTCCCACAACAGAATGAAACAGCAGTCCACCGCTTCCGGGTTTTCCATGGTGGTCTAGCTTCAATTGACTCATGAATTCAACCATTAAATTGCTATACTATCCACAAAACCTCTTCTGATACTCATCAACATATGCTCATTAGTGATTGGCTTCAATAGGTATATCCTGGAGTTCTAGTGAGAAGTAGTGACCAGTGGAGTTCAATCGGGTCTGTTGTGAGATAGTAACTGACTGAAGACAATGGTAAATGTGTCGCTCATTTTCGTGGATTATGTGGTTAGACATAAACACCGTTGAATGCCGGCCAGCTCGGTGGTCTAGAGGCCAAGCGATCGTGCACGAGATTGACAGGTCCTGTGTTCGAATCCCGCGAGGCGGGGTCGTGGGTGCGCACTGCTGAGGAGTCCCATACTAGAACAAAACGGCTGTCTAGTGCTTCCAGGTTTTCCATGGTGATCTAGCTTCAATTGACTCATGATTTCAATCAGCGAAATTTCTAAAAACTCCACAAAACCCCTTCTAATATTAAGATGAATTGATCAATTGGTTATAACTGAAATAAGATTTGATAAAAATATTTATCATTTCAAATTGATCTACATGATATTAACAGTATTAGATTGTGGAAATTGTTAAGTTTTTAATTGAGATCATGAATTGATTGATATTAGACCACTATCATACTAGGACGAAATAGCTGTTCAGTGTTTTCAGGCTTTTAATGGTGAGCTAATATCGATCAATTTATGATCTCAATCAAGTATATTATATTAACATAATGAAAGAGGAAATTACCTAAGATAAGAAAAAAACCAAATAAATGGAAACTTAATATCACTAACAGTAATGCAAGATTGAACAAGAGAAAAGAAAGCACAGTTGAAAAATAGAATGGATAATTAGAGTTGACATAAAAACTAAGTTTAAATAGATGATAGAAAATGATGGTAAAGATTTGTAGCTTAAGAGAATCATTTTTTGAAATTGAGTTGTTTGAGTAGCATGATTGAACGGCGAAATTGTCACTGGACAATATGTTTATCATCAGGACTATGAACTTCAGACAGGAATTATAAGAATTTCTTCACATATAACTAATAGTTTGTCTTGTCGACTTTAAAGTCTACAGACTGTTCTTCATGTACGTCCTACATGTACGTCTACATATTTTGATTTGCTGTCTTTAGAGTTATTCTAACTTACTCCTTTTCCAGCTGTCATTGGATTCTGGGGTAGGTGGTAGTTAGGCTCATTGGGGACATCTAGCGTTACCACTTCAACAGATAACTATTTAGAAGTTCGTCTATGAACGAACTCTTTTTTTATCTAATGCTTGACGATTGGCAGAACATATGACCATGTCAAACTACTATGCCGAAATTCTGTACTTCATATTACCTTTTTTTAGTCAATTCAGGAAACAGTACAATTAACAGCAGTGTGATTCAGGCTTAACTGTCATGATTTTAACTCGATTTTCTCCTATGATCTCACAAAGTGACAGAACTTGAAATGTGAATCATTAGTGATATGATTGAGGAATCTTAGTACGACAATCAAAACGGACTTAAGTTGACAATATACTATGAACTTGTGCTGACCAACATGTAGCAGAATGAATAAAAATTTAAAGTAGAAAATTTCTGCCTTATTGACCTGAATTATTGATTCCTACTTCAAATGCTTCTTGCCAATTTGATTTGAATCCAAAGTTTCACTGGTGGAACAGTTAAGTGATTATAAGAGTACGTTACTGACTGATCTTAGCTATTCAATTCCATTTGTTAATCATCCACTTTCCGATTGATATCAGTTTATGTTGATGATTAGCTCCAAATTTATGTAATAGCTATCAACACATCCCAGATGATTTCTTATATTACGAAATCAATAATAGTTTCAAAACCAAACCTCCTTTATTCTGCTTCTTTATTTCAGCTCTCCCTCTTATTCTCCACATGATCCTAATATGTTTAACACGAAGTCAGTTGGTTGTGATGAAAAATATGTTAGTAAGTTACATGTTTAGGTATTTTTGTTTTTTTATTTATTTGAAAGAAAAGAACAAAGATGCCTTGAATTTCCAGAAAAGATGATTTAGCCTTCATTTAATAAAATATTAATGGCTCTCCGCATGATTTCAGTGTTCTGGCTTCCATCACTAATGGGGTCGTGTATAGGTAGTGATGAGGAGTCTTTCACGAAAACGAAACAATTATCCAGTGATTTCTAGTTTCTCAATGGTTATTTAACTAAGGTCAATCTGTGATGAGAACCTACAAAATTCAATCGATCTCTACAATCCTATGTATTAGGGGATGTTAGCTAGATTCCGTAAATGTTAACACAATGAAGTGTCCAGCCTGTCAAAATAAATCTTGTACAGTATTCGTCGGACTACAGAAGCGATAGCCAAGCGAAATAACTTCATACAATTTTTCTTAGCTTTGTTGACCTTAAGTTTAATAAACTAAGGTGATGGAGTATATTTTTAACTCAAGATGAGGATGTTGGAGGTGTCGTGCTCTGCAAGCTGAAGGGTTTGGTTGTGAAGTTCCCACTGTTCTTCTGAACGACATCATCATCAGCATGTACTTCAAAAATAAGTGAGAAACTACAATTTCTTCACAATTGACTAATATCTTATTCTGTTGACTGTTGATTGTCACACATAATTGTGTGGTCGTTGTTTGTAAATTTACTTTATGTTTCTCTTCTGATCTTGATAAGAAAAATAAACAAACTAAGGCTATGGAAAATAATACCAGCGGTGTGTTCCAGCCGGATCGGTTGGTAAAGCCTTTTCTGGTGAAGGTCATATAGGCCCTTCTGGAGTGGGTTCCGTATTTTCAAGGCTCACAAACCCACCATGTGGATGGGATTTTGTGCGGGTCAAGGCCTCGCAGGGCTTTACGTATATCTTGGTATCGTAATAAAAGCCAGTAAAGAATTTTTTGTTATTACTTACCCTGGATAGGTTTAGTCTACATGCATAATAGGTAACAGACAGACTTTCATCAGAGTATTCCTTGGTATATATACAGGTATACCTACTCTGTGAGTAAATATATGTTATATGCACACCGGTAACACATAGGTTTTATCCGATGCATCCCATAGCATAGTATATCCACCCACCTGGGAGGGTAGATGTTCACCACTCCCTTGGAAACATATTCGCCACACTAGACTGTTTATTACACATTACATGCATATCATTCAGCACATAGCTACCGCCACAGTACTTCCTGACACATATAAGCAAGAGCATTCTCTCAGGTGAGGTTGTTGGTCACCTCACCCTAGTGTTTGCTACCATATCTTCTCATTATGTCTCTGATCTGATAGACTGGGCAAGTGATTTTATTAGACATATGGCAGACAATATTTCAGCTAACGTTTCCTTTGTACGACACCACACGTACACCTTTGCATACATACATGGATTGCAAATGCCCGAGGTCTTCTGCAATTCTTATACATAAGCATACACACCAGGTGACTCGGTGCGGTTAAGTGAGCCTCGAGTTAGAACCTGAGTTGATGAAGATACAACAGAGTGGGTGATCAGTCCGGCTGTACCTACTGTCCGGAAGCGCCTTGAGGAGGCCTAGGGTCGGGTTTCACTGCCAAAGATAATAATAATAAGTAAAGTTGTTTGTCAAACCTAATTCAGACAACAAAGAGATAAGAGCTTTAGAAATTTCTCAGGAATACAGGGACTTGTTGTAAGAGCTTAAATTCCCATAGCTTTCGCTATATGTACAAGGTAATATAGAACTGCGTGGGCAAAATGATTTGTTTCCATCTACTACATGGCGTGTATCGGCCATGTGTGACAGAACGAAACTATGTATTGTTTTGGTCATCCCATTTCTCAATCACGAAGTGAAATGTTCAGTAACTCGTTGGGTGAGTTGACTGATTCTACGTCAGATATAGCTTTCTCGACAGGGGAAACTGGAGTTCTAGATACATGTAGATATATACCTGTTATCACACTATCAATCTGTACTTTTTACTTATGATGATTGTTTGATCATGCAATCTATTTCGTTTTTGCCGCTAATTCATAAACTCCCTTGATTGGTTTGCTAATTTTCATATATGCATATAAATATTAATGAATATTAGAGTCAATGCTAATAAAAGTCTAGTTGGTAACAATGCTGTTCAGTGGTATATGTTATTCTAATTTTCACGATGGAGATCCTTAATAAAACATATCAAGGTCAACGATAAAGAATAACTAGTTTAGTGTGTTTGCGTGAGAAAGTGAACTATGTTAATTCATTTCAATCTATAGGCTGTATTCAACACAGATTGATCTCAACTGATATACCACTGAATATTTGGCTTCGTCACAGGATCGGGTTCTTTATTAGTATACAGCCACAACCATGGTAAGGATTGAACACAGGATTTTAACCACCAAAACTACTATTTCAACTTTCATTAATTCGTAATATAGTACGACAATCATCCAATACAGTTTATGGAGACTCAATACTGATATAACTGAAGTCTAACAGTCATGAATTCTTTCTCTAGAACTTAAGAAACCTATTGAACTCATGTTGTGGTCTTCGTTAATTTTGGATAATGATTATTAAGAAAGGTTAAGAAATGATCTTTTTGCATGTGTTCAGTAATAACTTTGTCAATATGAAACAATTTAATTGAAAAGATTTTGTGGAGATCGGTTTAATTTACAAGTTATATTCATCACAAATTTATTTCTCATGAAGTTCCTGCAAAAAACTATCATTTATCCCGTGAACTCAATGTCCTAGTTTGTACTATTGACATGGTTATATGTGTACACTAGTGAAGAATCTTATATTATAGAAGAAACAACTATTAAATGCTTCTTGATTTCTTAAGGTACCTTGAATGAGATCAGTTTGTGACGAATACTACCTACAAATAAGTAATTTACTTAATAAATCATCCGCTTGATAACTCATTTACTCCACTTACCCACACATACATATGCACGAGCACACACACACACATACACATAACAAAAACTTGGATCCATTAAAAGTCTATTCATTGTGATAATTTTTATTTTATTGTTAACTAAAATTAGATTGTCTACATCAATTTGATGTAGATTATGTGAATCAATTATTAAATGAATTTGATTGGTGTTTGGAAGTATTGGATAGTTTACAATGTAAACGTTCTGTAAGCAGTTTAACACGGATGAAAGTAAGTTATTCATATGTATATATTATCTGATAATGATGTAAGAGAATTTTTGTACTTTCAACTTATTTAGAATTTCAATAGTTGAGATCACGAGTCAATTAAAGCTAGACAACCATGAAAAACCTGAAAACATAGGACAGTCATTTAGTCCGATTGTGAGACTCCTCAGTAGTGTGCATCCACGATCCCGCCCCCCCGCGCGAGTTTCGATCCCAGGACCTATCAGTCTCGCGCACGTGCGCTTGACCATTAGACCACTGAGGTGGCCGGCATCCAACGGTGTTAATGTCTAACTTCGTGAATGTGGACTGCTGAGGAGTCTCACAACAGGACGAGACGGCCGTCCAGTGCTTCCAGGTTTTCTATGGTGGTCTAGCTTCAATTGACTCAAGATTTCAGCTATTGAAATGATTAAAATCTCCACAAAACCCCTTCTTATTTAGAATTTACTGATGATTATAAATTCTACATTAGAGAATGGTTATAACACACAAGAATGAATAACTAATTTGAGATTTTCATAGTTCTAAACTACTTACAACTTTTCCAGGGATCAAATTCAAGATAATCAAGTTTCTTGATGATCGATTGAATATCCTTGGTTTAAATATTAAACCATTTTTGTCGGTTAAGGAAAAACTTTCATGAACGGTTTAAGATTAAGATAAATAAGGTGAAGCTGGCAATCAATAATTATCAAATTTCGATCAGATTATCGACAAATTTCATGTTACATACATAAATTCAATGTCTGGATTTGACAATTTATTTTATTTTTAAGGGGCTCTAACTAATCATCGGCAATGAGAAGACGGAGTTGATCTGAAAAATGTAATGTATTTGCGCTATACATACGCTATACAATCTGGTCTATAATTGGTTCATGATAACATTCTATTTGCTGAAGATTCCCATCGTATTAAAATACAGATATATGAATGAAATATATTCTTTTCAAATAAATATATCCGAATTATCATTTTCTAAAATTCTCATATTGTGAATTAGAACAACATAGATAAAACAGAACAATATTGTTTTCGATTAGATCCTCATCAGGCTTTGCTCTAATATACAGTAATATTTATATGTATATACAAAATTATTAAACCAATCAAAGCAGTATATGATTTAGTGAACTGAAGGTCTCCCATGAGATTAGAGGTTCGCCATCGGTATTGTGGATGGTTCAGCATTAGTTCGGCAAGTTTTGCTGACTGTTCATGAACAAAATTGGTTTGCTGGTTAACCGATTTCATTCATACTGGTGGTTGCTTTTCAGTGTTCTCAAAATCATTGCCATTGGGACATTAAAAGGCATGTCGCCATTGCTAACATTAATGAGTTTGACTGTCATGTAAGCGGAATAGGTCAAGTTTAGCCTGTTCGTGCTGTGCATACTTGATTCACACGATCATTGATCGGAATAACTATTCATGTGACGTGAATATGTATATGAATGGTGAGAATGGTCCACCAGGGTGCTTGTTACCAATGTGGTTGCACCACAGGATTGATCTGTACTATTCAGATTGTAGCGATTAAGCCTATACGGTGTCTGGTTCTTCTATGAAGCGGGATTGAGCTGTACTTCTCGGGTTATAAAATATAGGCCTGGGCGGTGTCTGGCTCTTCTTTTAAACGGGATTGAGCTGTACTTTTTGGGTTGTTACGTGAAAGTCTGAATGGTGCCTGATTCTGCTGAAAACCAATGTAAAATTATCCTGGCCAACAAAGGTATATTATATAACAAATTGATAGTGTGATGAAAGGTGTACTAGTTGTGATAAGAGTAATAAAAGCTTAAATTAACGTTTTATAATGGGAAATAGGTCGATGATAAGAAAAAAATATAGACACTGACATAGCATTCATAAGAATTATAGGATTACGTAATAAGAATTGTTCGGATAATTGGACCGTGAAGCGTAAATTTGAGAAAAGAAAAGGGTGGGAGGGGGTGAATAAAAATAAAGGAAGAAAGAGTATGAAAAATAATAATAATAAATAAAATCATTTATTAAGACCAAGAGAGAGACAAAAGTGTTACGAATTTCCTGTGAATATAAAGACTTACCATTTCATTCTGTTGTGGGACTTTACACCAGTGATCATCTACGATCCCGCCTGGACTGATTGAAGTCAGACAGTGACACCGTTGGATGTCGGCTCAGTGGTCTAGTGGTGAAACGCTCGCGCGCGAGACTGATAGGTCCTGCGTTCGAATGTGGCGAGGCGAGATCGTGGATACAAACTGCCGTCTAGTGCTTCCGAGTTTTCCATGGTGGTCTAGCTTCAATTGACTCATGAATTAAACTACTAGATTACTATAATATCCGCAAAAACCCTTTTCTGATAATAAAATATTTCATGAGTTTCCCTTACATAAATGAATGAGTGAAAGAAAAATACTCACTTTAAAAATTGCCTCAGCATATCACTGAAGTGATTTTGAGGATGATTCATTCTACTAAGGAAATATTAATCGATTTATGATAAGGTTGATTAAAATCTTTTGAAGAAACTTTGTTTAATATTAGGAAACTGGAATAATGATAATGATCACAGGGATTAGCACAAAATATTACCTCATTGACCAATGTTTCTGAAGTTTATTATTACTCATCTCTTAAATGCTTATTGTTTAGTATCATGGGTGATTACAGTCTCACGTTCTGCAAACGCTATTCGTCTTGACATTTTGTCAACACCAATAACAACATCATCATAATATTCTCCACATAGACACTGTTCTTGATAAATTCAGTTGGTATTGTTTACTTGGATCTTCCCATTGACGTATAGGACTGCAGTACCATATGACCTTAAACTTCACTCGATTGCACAAGCAAGTGGCTATCGGGGCTCAGTAGCTAAGTAGATAATCGGATGGCGTTTGAGACGAACGGTACTGGGTTCTAGTCCCAGAGTGAACATCAACTATGAAATGCAGGTAAATCCAGCCAACGAGTCCTAAATAGCGCGAAACCTGCGTCTTGGATTCCACTACCAGCCACTATTCATCTTTGCTTATACTGTTCTTGATAGTTTTCAAAATTTTTTACAATAGTTTGAAATGTAGAATGCATTCGCCGAAAATGGATCTAAGTTGATACATCATTTGAAACCGGAGAGCACTGAATAACTGCTTTGTCCCAGTATGGGACGAGTCAGTATAATGCATCAGCGGCCATACCATTATTTTTAAGTTAACCGCTAAGGCTCATAATTTTCTTTAAAACTTTGAAAGTAGTCACTAATTGTTCTTAGTTTACTTGAAATGTTTCATTCTTCTTCGTAAATTCAAGGATGATTTTATATCACTAGTACCTGAAATTTCGCGAATAACACTATCTATAAATTAAATCAATCTCTGTAATTCCTCTTCAAACAAACTGTAATATTCAGGTTACTAGTGAGTTACTTCAAGGTGCTTTAGATATTAAATGATAAGTCTTGACTGGTGAAGTTCAGAAATGTCAGGATTCAAAAAGTTGTCAGAAATCGGATTAGATGATCGTCACACCATACCGTATATTGATTGGAGTTGAAACTGCACCATTTGAACACAGCATAGTGGCTCTGATGGTTGAACATTTTCAACGAAAAATGAAGGTGCTTGACCCCAGCTCTAGTAAAGTCATGCGTGTACTACTATGGAGTAACATACTAGGACAAAATAATTATCCAATCCTTCCTGGTTTTTAATCTTACACTAACTGATATTAATCTGTAATAAATACAACCTGTAAATTGAATCGCCCTCTACAAAATACTCTTAGAAATACTTTTCTAATTACAGAAAACTAATTGAGTAAACAAACATATTTTGAATATACATGTGAATAAATTTCTTTAAAATCAATAATATTTTCACTAAAAACCAATCAATAATTATGTTTTTGATTGAGATCATGAACCGATTGATGTTAGACCACTATTGAAAACCTAGGAGCACCTTAAGACCGTTTCGACCTATTGTGAGACACCTCAGCAGTGCGTGTCCACGACCCTGTACGCGGAATTCGAACCCAAGGCTTTCAGTCTCGCGCGTGAACGCCTAACATCCAGACCACTGTGCCAGTCAGCATCCAATGGAGTTAATGTCTAGCCTCAAACAATCCACGAAATTGCGCGACTATCTTCCATTTTACTGAAGTAGATACCTGTCTCTACCCGACACGGATTATGTATCAACCCATTTAAAAATCATTGTATATTAAATTTGGTTTTTGTACATTTTTTCTATTATTGATTTAGTTACGTAGTCTTCTTAGTCAAGAGTTGGCCGCTTCATTTAATGAATCAAATGATAAAACTGTTAAGAAAGATTCAATCAAAAAATCAACCACAACATCTTACAATGTTCGTTTTGATGATTCAACTTTAAAAAGCTCCTCTCTACTATTACATGATCAAGATAGTAATAATAATAATAATAAGTCAAATATTAGTCAAATGCAAAAACGTAAACAACAATTTAGAAGTTGTAGATCACAAGTTTGTGAATACATTTGTAAAACATTTCTTGAAGAAGACGATGATGATGATGATGATGATGATGTTGACAATAATCATGAAGATAACGATGATGATGATAATAATAATAATGATGAGAACAACTCCAAAAATACATCATCATATAATCTATCAACAGAAAAAACTATTCATTTGAATAGTCCAAAATCAAAACTTCGATTCAATGATAAATATGAAAAAACAATAGATGAATCTAATGAAACAAATGAATCTACAACTGATCAAATTTCTGAACTAAAATCTATCTCATCTACACAATTCAATGATACAGATGTAATATCTACTACATTAAAGTTAATTACATTAAATATTGAACATTTTGATAATTCAATAGTGGAAAATGTAAGTTCAAAAAACTCTTTTTAAATTACATGTTAAAACTCATAACTATATCCTCACTAAATAAGATCCTAAAAGGATAGAATTCACTTATGAGAAGAGAAATTTACATCAATCTAACTAATATTAACTTTATTCATTAAAATAAATGGTAACCAATACTGATTATATATCCAAACGGCTTTTGATCCACCCAAGTGCCCCTGGTACGGCCGAGAGTGGGGAGAGTCCACTCCCTCCCTCGAAATGCCCTCACATGGCCACGTGTATATAGCCTCTACTAGGGAAGTCCTACCCACTGCCTTCTCGTGGCAGGGGTGTTGTTTACGGAATTGACAGGACGAAAAGCGAACGTCCTGCGAATTAACCGGATTGGTGGACACGGAGAGTCCACCTAGGGGAGTTGGAAAACCCTGATTCCAAACCAATGGTGTACATGGGGTCCAGCATCCTGAGAGAACAAATGGTGTATGGACTAATTATTTTTTACCGGCTATCATGGGACTGCATCTCCTGACGTTGCTCCACTGCTTTGTGGATCAGACCTTTAGGTCGAAGGCTCCAGGTGTGGCTTCCTAAGAAAACCATCTGCTTCAGCTTGGGCACCCGTGAAGTATCACAGCCCTCACACATATCAAATGGTATTTGTGTGGCACATATTTACCTGGTGCCTTCTTGTACCAGTATTTATGTGTTTAAATAATAAGTAAATATTAATAACCTTTTCAATGACCAAATAGGATACAGTGGCAACAAATTGAATAACATTCCCTTATTGCATTGTTCTAGAACTCGAAAACTAATTACATTACATACCTTAATTATATAATCTTAAAGTAGCAGAAATAAAAAATGACAATTTGTACATAACTCAGTCATATGTGATACACAACTGAGTAATAAGAATATAATTAATGATGGTTTTTATATAGTAAATTATATTTAAACAGTTCATAAGTTAAATGAAAGCTTAAAATTGAGAGAATGTATAAATAACATAAATCAAATAATTTTGATTGAGATCATGAACCGATTAATGTTTGACACCCATTGAAAACCTGGAAGTACTGAACGGCCGTTTCGTCCTATTCTGGGACTCCTCAGCAATGAACATCCACGATCCCGCTAGCAGGATTTATATGAGAATTTTTCAATCTTGCTTAAATCAGTTATTTTTTATAAATGACTAATGGATCATTTCAATTAAAATAAGATCTTCAGTGAGAATTTGATATAAATTCGAATCTTATTTAAAGATCTGAATAGATTTCTTGGAAATATGATAAGAATCAGAATCATTAGGAATTCTTAATTTTCTCGCTGTCGAGTTCCAGTATAATGAATGGGAATACCGGCAGGGACAACCGAATGTATTTCAATACACTATTACGGAATCTCTTACTAAAATCTGAGAACCGTGCAGTAAATACTTTATTTGCAAAATGTCAATCAATTGTCTCAGACTTGATTGTTCCTTCGTTTCCACATCAATAATTCTCTATTCTCGTTCTTTCTCCTTCGATCTTCTTAACATTCTGCCATCAGATATGTCACTTTCGATTGGTGACATATGCTACTTATATCTGTCGATATCAGTAGCATACACCATACCAAAATAATAACCGATTAATCATATGTTCATTTTTTTTAGTAAACTGCCTTGACATTGTGTTTTCATCATAAGTCTTAGTATACCTGTCATACGTTTGGTGAAATTAAGTCGTGATCAGTAAATGAGTGAAGACAGACTTATCCTCCTGAACTTAATATACATAAGTTATCTTGTGTATTCTTATACTAACCTCTTTGTACAGATATCCACAATTGAGTCGAGTTTGTTATGGGATCTAGCTCCTAGTCTAATGATCTATTAATTTAGTTATATGCGTCCAACGTAGAATTAAAGAAAATTTATTATTTCCTATATGAAAGTTTAGATCATTGCTGTCAGTGGAATTCAAGATGTCGGTTTTGTCATAATGTGTGTACATCAATACTGGAACACACGCGCAATCATAAATAGGACGAAGTATACGTTGTAGAGTTTACTATGAGTTGTAGTCCAAAAATGCATATTTTTTATGAAAAAAAAGAAAGAGAAAAAAAGAAAAAAAGATTTTTGTTTTGTTTCTATCACACAGAAACTTTTCACAGAATTTTTCCTTTATTTTTTTGTTTTTTTTTTATAAAGTTTATCATAAATAATCAATCAAATTTAGCTCCAGATCTATTTCAATTAGATCAAATTTCTAATCATCATCCTTTAAGTACACTTGGCTTTTATTTATTTATGGTAAGTATTTATAATAAGTTTATAAACATTATTGAACTGAGATTAATCATAATATTTTCGGTGAGACTCTAATTTATGAACGAGCCAATCTGAGGCGTTTTAGAGATTTCAAGGTTACGGCGCCAACTTCAGTGCTTAATGCTAACGTACGATCGGTTCACAGGGAATTTTGTACAAAACGTGATAATTGAGCGGCTATAACAAATAAAATGACAAGACTATAATTTGTGGACGAATCAATCAGCTATAAGATTACGGATCTCGGATTTGGGCACGAAAGCCTTTCATCCATTCGGCTAAATAAATTCCTGGCATTATAGCTGATGTTAGTTCGTGTTGAAAACTCCATATATAATTCCTAACTAAGGCAAACTACGACAATTATTGCGAACTGGATAATAACAACACCAGTAACACTGGCTGCAGACAGGTACTACAATATATACGGATAATTGCAGAGCGTACAGACTCATACATAGGCTTGGCTATGTTCATCGTGTCGTTATCCACAAGTAGCATTTTGTGCACTCAACAACCGGAGTGCACATAAGCAATATTGAAGCTATGTGGTCGAGGCTGAAAGAGTTTTTGAGACTTTATCATGACTCCAGAGGCCGACTATTCTGTAGCCGTATGGATGATTTCCTCTACTGAATGTATTAAGATTTTAGAACCTCTGAACCTCTTTCTAACTTTGACAAGTTTTTGAACCACATATAATAAGTGTATCCATTTTATTTCCTTGGTTTTGTATAACATAATTTTACTCTATAATGACTGTTTGCTGATTGGCTAATATTTCTCAAGTTTACTTAATATTCGTTCAAAGGTCGTCCATAAATTAGAGTCTCACCATATTTTCTAATGTATATTAAACATGTTTTGTATTACATAATATTTTCAGTCCATTTATTGTTGATTTAGTGAATTAGTGCCATGTATTAGGGTGTAATTTTCATTAAGGATTTCATTTTTGAACCTTGTTCTATTTGTAGTTCTTTTATTCGGCATATCTGGTTAAGTTACACTGGACAAATTTCTACTAAAGTGTTGAGGATAACTTCAGAAGCTTTGATCATAATTCCACCTTAATATACAGATTTATTTATTCATTTATTTGAACATATAGATATTGGTACAACGGGTTACCAAATACATATACGCCACACAAATCTCATTTGATTTGTATGAGGACTGTGTTACTGCCCGGGTGCAGGACTTTAATATACAATACTCACTCAGTAAATGAATCGAAAACTGACCTAAATTACTGGGTGATATACATTAAATAAAATTGAGAACATTGAGAATAACCTCAGTCAAAACATTGTTCATAACTTTAAATCTTAGATAAACTTTCATAATAAATATTATTTTATGATGACTAGATGTAATGAAGTTGATAGTAGGTCGTCAGAATGTTTATTTTTTTTTTAATGTTGTGAATGAATTGTGGTTCTAATGAATAAGTAAAATAATAGGAACTTTTAGGTGAGACTATGATTTATGGACGACCTTTGAACAACACTAAACTGACCTTTTGAATGCTAATATTGTATTACTACTAATCAAGTTAATTTATTCCCAGTAAATCCTGAAAAGTATGTCACTAATTTATCCTCCATTGTATTATCTGCTAATGAAAAGGAAGCCCTTTCTCTTGGTTTTAATTTCTCTGTCCCTATAACGCAAATGTCTGAATTGGAAATAAATGCCCAGTTTGAAAATCTATATGATCAACTGAGTACTCTAACCCCTACGTCTTCAAATAATCAAAGCTGATGTAAAGCTAAACTAGTGGATAGAGCACATCAATTTCATAATGTTGGATCGAAGCAGAGAAGCATATTAACTTCTCAGCATTTTAAATCATTAAAAGAACTACGATCAAACTCTGATATTGTCTTGTTAAAACTTGATAAAGAATCAGACCTCGTTATCATGAATAAATGTGAATATAAAAGTAAAATGTTATCCATTCTTAGTGATGATAGTAAATTTATGCCTGATGTTGAATTAGGAGGTATTAGCAAACTAGAAAGAAGAGTAAATTCAAATCTAGAAAAATTGCTACGCATGAATATTATTAATAAAGAGTAATTTAATTTCCTAAAACCTATGAGTTCCAAGTACCCTCATTTATATGGACTGCCTAAAATTCACAAACCTAATGTTCCTTTATGTCCAATTCTATCAATGTGCAGATCACCTACACATAATCTGACTAAATGGCTAACAAAATTGTTGGACCCTATTCGAAACCATCTATTTGACCTTTTATTTTTTTATATATACAAATGCTCTTAACAAGTATGTAATGTGTGATCAGATTGTTCGAAATGTATTAAGCTAATATATCTTCATATAGTTCTGATAATCTTTGTCTTCTTATTACATTATTGAAATTTATCAAATGGGACTAATTGTTTTAAAGTTAATATTATCATTATATAAACAGAATTATTTTGTCAAATGTTCAACTTATTACTAAGAATAAGACAATTACTTATCAAGAACCATATTCTCTTCTCTTATTACAATATTGATGTGGATATTCAAGTTGAAATGTTATCTTTGAGTAAAAGAACTAAATTGTAAATGAAAATCAAAAAAGGGGAAATACGTTCTAGATTAAATTGACTTAGAAATATGAGATATCAATAGCATAGAATTGGTTAAATAAATATAAATCTATCCTAAATGTAATATGAGCATTTTCATTGAAATTGTAATTAAATATCTAAATTCTAATTTTATAACACAACTACTTAGATATTCATGTTACAATAGATATATGTTGTATAAAAGATATCATTTAACAATAAAATTAATATCTTATAATATCAGAAAGGGTTTTGTGATGATTTTACAAATTTCAATGATTGAAATCATGAGTCAATTATAGCTAGATCACCATGGAAAAAAGCCTGAAAGCACTAGACGGCCATTTCTTCCTATTGTGGGAATCTTCAACAGTGAACATTCACTATCCCGTCCCTCTCGAGATTCGAACCCAGGAACTGTCGGTCTCGCGTGCAAACACTTAACCATTAGACCACTGAGCCGTGGATTAGTTGAAGCTAGACATGAACACCAATGTATGCCGACCGGCTCAGTGATCTAATGGTTGAGTGCTCGCACGCAAGACTGACAGGTCCTGGGTTCGAATCCCGCTAGGTAGCGTCGTGGATACGCACTGCTGAGGAGTCTCATAATAGAACGGAACGGTCATCTTGGGCTTCCATGTTTTTTGTGGTGGTCTAGCTTCAATTGAATCATGATCTGAACTATTGAAATTAATATCATATAACTTAATCGACCACTATATTTATATTGTAGGTGATAAGACCTTGTTCTAATGATCCAGTATTAAAGTTTCAGACTGTGGAGTTGGATGAAAAGACGCGAGTCCAACAACGATAAATATAATTCTGTTTGAGATTAAAAATACGTCTTGTTGATGAGTCTCAACCTGCTTAAATACTGTATGTTGTATTATGTATCCTTATTAATTAACTCACTCTTGTTTCCTTTCAGTAAACTTTATTGGTTTGTTAATCTTTATCAAAATGTTATTTACATTTTCTTTATTTTATTACAGAAAACTAATATATTACAAAAATTGTCTATACCTTCGGTGACAATGTTGAACTGTTTAAGGCAGATTGAATCACGATACAATTCAACTGCACCGTTTCATAATTCAATTCATGCTTTAGATGTATTGCATGCAACTTATCAACTATTTCAATGTAATAGTTTAAAAGTAAGTTATACTTAGTACTTTATTCATATCTGTCATAACTTGTGACCACTCAGTAAAAGCATATGAGAAAGCCACCAATTAGAATACTGATTGATATTACTTAGTATCTATGAGTTGACCAATTATACATACACAACCAGAACAAGTAACCTTAGACCAACTGACAAATTCTTATTAGTTCACAATTTTCCACTCAAGTAACCACAATCAATGAACGAATATTATATTCCAAGAGGACGTAGTCTATACACAAACATACTAGATCATATCATATATATATTGTAAATTATCCATAAATTGTTCCTGGAAGTGACCATACCTATTGTCTTAGATCGGATATGGCAATATTTTCGTGCAAATGTTTCATTATTTGCTGTAATACACTTGTCTTGTTTCTGATGCATATTGTCTCTTAAAAATACTTAGAGATCCTTGTTACGACTTGACAGTCGGTTCGGTACGGATCTGGGGTGATTGTTTATTAAGAGACGATTGAGTATGTGTGCAAATACATAGGTTTACGAACTTGAATTTGTATAAATAAAGACGAGCTCGCCATGATACTTTGAGGTTTTGCATTGTGGATAAACACTTTGTTGGAATTCCATACTTATAGAGAAAATAACAGATTAGTTCGCCTTAGCTTTATTAATTTAGTCACTCAGGCTGGGGGCCTGAATGACTCTGGTTCAAATCACACAGGAAACATCAATTCTATCAGTTCTATTGACTAGAGTCATGTGATACTGATGAGTGTCACCCGACACAAGGCCCTGGTTCAGGATTTCCTGCCGACAACCTCAAGCTACTTACTATCAAAGCATTGTCCACTAGATATCTAGCCAGTTAGAATAACGGTGGCAATGCAATTTCATCCATAGAATTGAACAAACTATAAAAGATCAAACAAATATTACATTACCCAATACTCAGAGGTCAATCAATTTTAAGGTGTGTACTTTGAACGTCGTTCAGTACCTTTTTTTATCTAATTAACAAGGGTAATATCTGTTCTAATAGTTTAAACTCATGTTGTTGATCATAGACTCAATTTGAAGACTGATTTGCAAAGTTATCTTCGTAAAACTGTTCCTCAAAACAATAAGTCTTAAATAATCTTTCTGAATCGAGATTTAAAAGTGATTTCAAAAAATGTGGGTAACAGTTAGGTGATAATTTTCAATAATAGAATAATGTGAAAGTTATTCAATAGTAGACAGTTATTATTTTTGATTAAGTTACTGTCGAATTGAAATAAACATTGATTATTATAGTCTCTTTCTCATTCAACAATTTATCTACCTTTTAGGTGGTAACATGCTGTTAGGGTGAAAGTTTAGGGATGCTATGTGCCTTTGTTCACATGTTAAAGATCAAACTATGAGTGAGAAGTTATAAAAGTGACATAGTATTGAAAGAAGTCTATTTTATTCTTGGTATCAAAATCTCAGCTTACTTATCCTTGTCTGGGTCGGAAAGACAAACATATAACAATAAGTATATTAATGTTTTGTACATCTAGTCATTTGGTTTTGTTAATTACGAATCTGTAGTCAATTCTCAATCTTATCACTGTTTCATAACAGTTTGGGTAAGTGTATTGGAAGCATATATGTCCCTATCACTTTAGCCTGCGGCTTTTACTATGCAGGTCGAAATACACGTCCTGTGGTATGTGAACGAGGCTCTCCTCGTGGCCGTGTCACTAAGCACAACCACCAATCATAGGTCTTGAGGTGGACATTGGCCAACGGATATGCTACTAGTCTGGTGACCGTGCGAACAGTTGGTAAATGGTGAACGTGTCCACAGTGACAATAACGTCGGAGTAACGGCATGCATGCTGACACCCGTGAATAGCCCACTGATCACTGAGTTTGGCTCGTGTGTCCACATTAAACTTCCTGGATGGCAACAAATAAACATGCAAACAGTTAGTAATTGCACGTATAAACGTAATGCGTTGTGTAATGATTATTTGTAATATCTTGTTTAGTTAACCATTAGACAGATAATGAACCATTGTAATTTACATAATCACAGCATTTCTCCAGTAATTTTATTTACAATCTTTAAAGATAAGGGCAGCTTTCACATGTCATGTGTCAATGAGGTAAAACCAATCTCTTTCTGACAAACTTTTTCTATGGCTTATTTCTATTCACTTCCTCAGAATATCTTCAGTGATCTTGAAACGTTTGCAATTTTCTTTGCTAGTGCTATACATGATATCGACCATCCTGGTTTAACAAATCAATACCTTATAAATACAAGTAAGTTAGAAAAATGCATTTAAAACTTAGCTATTTAATAAAAACTTATGTCTTATCTGTTCCGTCTACAAGCAATAGGACGAATACAATCCTCAGCAGTCCTCTCTATATTACTCTGTTTGTGAAACATAGTCTATGAAAGTAGAAGACTTGCGTAAGGTGCAAATTATTGATCATAGACGTTTGCTTATTATGAAGTCATCGAGTGGTCATTAGTCTTAGCGGATGAATATCGTTACTTCAGTCGATAGTTTAAGGTTATCGACAACAAATCCTGGACTAAGGTTTATTGTTGGAGTTGTTCAATAGTAGTGTTTTCCACTCAGTGACACTAATTAACGTTGGGTTAAGATTTTACCAAGAGCGTCAATTCTTTTAAAATTATTTGTATATGTTGTTAACAGAAAGCCTAGTTCAAACATGACTTCTTGCTGTTTGCTTGCAACTAATAACATTATCCCATTCTCCATAACATTGAGTAATTAATTATGATTGCTTCTAACAATGGTATAGCCAAATCACATTAGCAAATGACCATAAGACCTCGACACCTCTTAGCCAATCAAAAAACAGCAAATACAAATGACTACTTAATAACAGAAAATGCAAAAATTTGCAACGAATATAATATTGATTTTACATGATTCTACAACCTCCTTGAGTTGCGTATAAGTTGAGATTCAGAGTTAGAAATTAGAAATAGTATATTTATTTATCCCATAACCTATAACTCCAGCCCTAAATTCCACTTTTAACCATGAATCTTACTCCCAATCTTAAATACAAATTCTAAGCCAATCTCATTCCTAACCTGTTAGGTTTTGAAGCGGTTACAAGTTCTTTTAATCTGCGAACGGAACAAAGACTCAGTGATCAAAGACCAATAAGCTAGCTATTCGATGCGTCCCAGCCCCGCTAACTAGAGAGAGAAGTCCAAGCTGGGAATGAAGAAGTATATTCCGTAAACAAACACAAATCAAAACGTATATATACAGCACAAAACCGTCCTCGGAGAGAGTCACAAAATAGCATACTAAAAGACACAACGTACCAATAGCATTTAAGATTCTCCCAAGTGGGAAATACGACATGAAGGTGAAAAAGAGCGCTTTTGGCGCGTAAACAAAGAAATTCAAATTTTCTAAATAAAATTACAAAATTAGGTCTTTTTTTTAAGTAAGTTCTGGGGATTTAACCTCCCCAACATAACCCCCTGACTAACATTGCAATGAAAAGTCTCTTTATCTCATATTTATTTCAACATATTTTGAATTATTTATTGTTCGCATTCACAAATGAGTGTTTTGCTCAGTGATCCAACGTTTTATAAGTAATAAACGATGCTTATTTTATTAAATTTCTCTTTAATAACTATGACTGATAGTTACCATGTTGATTTGCTATTTATACACTAACAACTTCAAGCATAATTCTTGATCCCGACTGATTAGTAAGTATACTTAAATTAAACTTTATAAACTATATTGAATGCTTTGTATCATCCCACTTAATGTGTTAATCTAAATTTTTATATTTTATTCCTTTTTTTTTCTTCTTCTTCTTCAAAAAAACCATCTTTGTCTACTGGATTCACAGATCATGAATTAGCTCTATTGTACAATGATATTTCAGTCTTGGAAAATCATCATTTACATGTAGCTTTTAAATTGATTAATACAGAGAAAGAATGTGATTTTACACAATATTTTACTAATCAACAAAAATTATTATTTCGTAAAATGGTAATCGCTTTAGTAAGTAGTAGTAGTAGTAGTAGTTCTTTTATTTCTAATATTTTGTTCAATTGAATTATTTTTATCATTATAGGGTTGTGAAGATTTTAAAGTTCTTGATTGAGATTATGAATTGATTGATATTAGACCATTATTGAAAACCTGGAAGCACTGGACGGGCGATTCGTTCTATTGTGGGACTCCTCAGCAATCGGCATCTACGATTCCGCTTCGCGGAATTCGAACCCAGGATCTATGAGTCTCGCGCGCGAGCGCTTAACCACTAGACCACAGAGCCGGCATCTAGGTTTTCCATGGTGGTCTAGCTTTAACTGGCTTGCGATCTCAACCATTAAAATTACTATAATATCCACAAAAACCCTTCTGATACTAATTGAATAATAATCATGAAATATTGCCAGAGGATAATGATAGCAGATTACGGTTTGAAATTACAAAACAATAACTGCAAAAAAGGCAAGACTAATATATACTACAGAAGAAAATTAAGGCCAAGGAAGGATGAGAAGTTGTATATATTACTTTTGCATGCAAAATTTGGGCTTAATTTGGTGGATTGCTAATGTTGAGGCCTTGTATTCTTCATTTACCTCGTGATTATTGAATAACCTTTTTTGATAATAAGAGTCTCGAATCAATTTGATGTAATCCTTTCTATTCTTCTATATATTTTCCATATAACTATAAAGACAAATGTGTATAGCTTAAGTAAATGATTTCATCGAAATACTTATATTTAGGGTTGATTTGTTTGTTATATGCAATCTACATAGAAAGAATTGAGTATTTAATATTTTTAAAGCCGTTAATTTTACCATGTAATGAACATAAGATAAGTCACTCATTTCTGAACTTCGCGCAAGGTTATTTCTTCAATCCTAATTGGTCATTCCCTAAACTATGCCTATACTCAGCTTTTTAATCATTGTTCTTTGTTTATGATCATCAAATGAGACGGTCATCTGATCTCCTTGTTTGTTGAGAAACTGCTTCGTTTCTGAACGGTACTGTTACTTAATGGTATTATAATGGGAAAAGTCACTATCATCATGGACAGATGCTATGTTTGTGGTTTATGCTAACATTCTTCCAACCTACTCCTATACCGTCAATAGTTGCTCGTCGAGGTGATTAGTGGACAGATAAATGCAACATACGTCCTAATCATCTCAGTCAATAAGGACTCACTACCCAGCCAATCAATTCTCAATTACTTATGTAATACTCTGCGTCTAACATCAGAATTGCCTACTGGATGATTCCAAATATCTGAGCAATGATTCAAAGACACCTATAATTGAATACTAGTAACTTACGAATATTCATTTTTATAATCTTTCACATTGCTTTACTACTATTTTGTTTTAATTTAAAGGTATTATCCACTGATATGAGTAAACATATGTCATTATTGGCTGATTTAAAAACAACTGTTGAGAAACAAAAAGCATTTCAAGGCAATGTAATCAATTTGGATAGTTATTCAGCTCGTATGCAGGTTGGTTTGAATAATTTTTTTCTGGTTAGCGTTTTTTTAGCGAGTTAGTTTTCTACGGGATAAGGTCGCTAACCCTATGCCCAGCCCTCTTCGTTTATCTGGGCTTGAAACAGGCAGCAGCCCCCGGAGGGACTTCAGGTGGAGTTCGTATGAAGGTATTTTCATGGAAATATTTAACTGCTATATACAAAGAAAGATAATTATTTCCGTGTTGGTTCACATTTTAAATACATTGAGTCAAATTGTACCTGGTTGAATGAATGACACTCCTGATTTATACCATTCGCTTAACTTTTAACTAACTCAATTCGTTTTTTTCGAATTTATAAATATATCTTCGTTAATTCTCGATAATATCGAGAAAGATGCTGATAACATTTTAACTTTGATCATTTTACAATATCTTAAAACAGTCATGCAATATTGATGACGACTGATCCACTCACGATATGTCAGAACTCTAGCTATGGTTTCATAATAGAAATTAATGACTTTCACTCTACATCCCGACTTGACTGAAGCTAAAAGAATATTGTTTAATTGCAAATCACAGAATCTACCAATTAAGCATTCATGTGAAATCTGGTGGTCCTTGACTGGATCGCATTTTGGAGACAAGGTTGAATAGTACATAGGAGTTCTATTCTAGGAAAAAAACAACTTTCCATTGCTCCCTGGTTTTCAATATTACTCGAAATAATATCATTCTGTGACAAATATGGTCTACACATATGAGTACAGACTCACATTAGTTTAAAGCTTATGAATTGTAAATTATTATTGTAATACACAATGTGTCATTTCTTTCATATGACATTAACTATAAATATATCAAAACCACATGGCGTATTTTCACATATTCGACAAGGCATCAAGTTTACTATTTTACATAGTTTGATTACTGAACCAATATCATGTTGTTCTAGTCGATCAAGTTGCAACACCATCTTCATTTTAAATGACAGATTTATTTATTTATTTGAACACATAAATATTGATACAAAGAGGCACCGAATACATATGCGCCACACAATCCACTTGATTTGTTTGCGGGTTGTGATACTTTCCGGGTGCCCAAACCGAAACATGGTGGTTTTATTGGGGAGCCATACTTGGAGCCTTCGACCTAACGGTCTGATCCACAAGGTAGTGGAGCATCGTAAGGAAATGAAGTTCAATGATAGCCGGTGACCAACGATTGGTTCGTACGCCAATTGTTCCTTCAGTGTAATGTAGCCCATGTACACCATTGGTTTGGAATCAGGGTTTTCCAACTCCCCTAGATGGACTCTCCATATCTATTAACCCGGTCGAAGCGCCAGACATTCGCTTTTCATCCTCTCAATTTCGTAAACAACACCACCGCCACGAGAAAGCAGTGGGTAGGACTTCCCTGGTATAAGCTATATACGCGTGGCCATGTGAGAGCATTTCGAGAGGGAGAGTGGACTCCCTATTATCGGCCATACCAGGGCATTTGTGGGCTTAAATGACAGAACATCTAGTTGACTGTGTTTGGTGATTTTGTAGTTCCCCTCACTGAAGAAAACGGCTCTTATCAAATGGATCATGTGTTTCAAGTAAGGTCTATGGATTCTCCGAGAATGATTCAAGGTAACAATGGCTGTCGACTTCTTGTGTTAATGAAAACATTGAATGTTATATATATATAGATATAGATATGGTATTTTGTGCTTTCCCGACAGCTGATGCACTATCTTGAATAATCAACTAAAGAACCTAACGTTTTAGGTTATTTTGATGAACTGCACATAAAACAAGTATATTTTATCACAAATAGGAGAGTATTCCGAAGTTGATAAAATGACGTTTGTATAACCTTAGCTCATATACTCATTAAACACATTTCTCAGCATATTGTTTTTACTCTCTAATTATTTATAGATATTAGAATGTATAATACATGCAGCTGATTTAAGTAATCCAACAAAACCATTAAAAATATATCAAGAATGGGTTTCAAGAATTATGGAAGAAATGTTTCGTCAAGGTGATCAAGAAAAACAATTTGGAATTGAAATTAGTCCAATGTGTGATAGAGAAACTGCATGCATTTACAGTACACAAGTAAGTTGTTTACTACTATGTATATGTTATATATAAGAGATAATCTTTGTTTTTCATTTCTAAACTGTCAAAGAGTTTATAATTTCAAGTTGTTGATATTCAGCTGTTAATTGTATTAGGTTTTTGAAGTAAAAGATGTCGAGTACAAGTCCAAATGTGAATATCATCATTGGGATACAAGTACACTTATTTGACGAGGCCAGAATAGAGAACACTGGATGATCGTTTTTCCTAGTATAGGGCTCTTAAGCAGTGCACATCTCCAACACTTAAAAATCTAAAACAAGACATTCGGTCTCGTGCGCATACTCTTAACCTATAGACCACTTAGCTGACATTTGACGATGTCGACATTTAACCTCAACCATTTTTTTATTATCACTGGTAATACTATAATCACTACATCTACGACCTTAATATTTATCTAGTTAATTTTATCCTGTTGTACTGATGTGATGCATATATCTGCCAAATCTCAAATTATTTCGATGAGCTGATATCCAATTTATTGATCAAAGTATGTTGAGTTCAGTGGTTTTCTATGGAATGCTAGTTATATTGTTTTCATACTATCATGACTCCATAGTGTATTAACTTTCAGATAATTTCCTAAGGCTTCGTATATTAATCAAAAAGTTAAAACCATTATAAAATAAATCACAACGGTGTATGAATTCAGTAGACAACATGAAGCACGGACTACAGTTTATTATTTAATAGCGCAGACCACACTAAGCGAATTCAAGCAGAAAAGCTAAAGCGCACGATCGAGCAAGTACAGAGGCGAATTAAGAGTTGAATTAGTAAGATTCAAGCACATGCGTATGTGCGGGAAGCGATGCTAAGTGTTGTTGGTAAAATGAAGCGATGAGAAGGCGAGTCAGTCAACTTAATTTGACCAAGCGTGACAAACAAAAATAAGCTACAGACATGTGATGAGTTGGGTAAGCAATACGAAAATAAGCTCAAATGAAAACAGTCAAGGTCAATAAGCGAATAATTGACAAGGTCAAAATGTGGCTCAAGAAGAATGAATAGATCAGTCTGTCCGGAAGCTAGAATATCCCATGTGCATTTGAAATGGCACAAGATACTACAATTTATTATCCTGAAAGCAAAGCACAATCTGTAAAGGACTTTTTCAAGTTAGCTAACGAAGCGATTGGAATGATCTCCAGCTCAGCTGGATAGATGCTTTTGATTATGCTGAGTTCACTGAGCTAGGTAGCTTAACTGTGAAGCCAACATTGTTGTCCTGGACAACATAAAGTAAGCGTTGAAGATGTTATCCAGAATGACCAGCGAACACATCATACGGTCACTTGTTTTTTTTCTAAATAATTAAATTAGTCAGAAAATCAAAATCATATATGATCATTCTGTATAAAGATACTGACATATGCATCATAGACAAACGAAACAATCACTTCAGGACAATGGACGACCATTTTCCACTGTCTTCGGTGGGTAACTGCTTCACCCTCGACACGGAATATCTCCATTGGTCACGGCTTCGTACTAGAACTCCGGAAATTCCAATTCGAATCTTATCACTAGTGGGCACATGAATATTTCCAGTGAGGACTTATAGAGATTGAACCAGTATTTTGAAGTTTTCAATGATGCTCTAAATTAGATCGGTTCATAATCTCAATGAAATTTAACAATCTCCAAAACCACTGAATGGAAACTACCTTTGTTGTAAATAATCAACAGGCTGGTAAAACTATAACTAATAAGATCTAAAATAGTGAACATTAGGTTTTGACAGACAATTCATTCATCCATATAGCGAAACACTTTAATATTACAGCTGGTCAGTTTGTGAGGAAAATGCTAACTGTTAACCACAAACATTAATTTCTCATACAAATTTATAGACCTATCAGTAAGTGATTGAAGTCGCTTAAAACCATTTAGGTAACGTTCAAAGATTGTCCATAAATCATGATTGTTACCATTACCAATAAAATGAGTTTGATTGTAAACAACTCTTTGCTAGTGGATGATAATCATAAACCACTTGACTTATTATAGTGCATCATATCGAGTTTAGTTCACTTACCTGAGATTTAAACAAGGACTTTCTGTTGGAGAGATCCAGAAAACTCTTCGATAAAAGCTAAGAAAGGCTCTAAAAACACTGAAAAGCATCTTATCCAATTAGCATTCACTAGACGTTTTGCCAGAAATATCTAGAAGTTGGAGAGTCATACTTAGAGTTTCTGATTGGATGATTACTACACTGCTATTATGCTTAGTAGCATTCTAGAATTTTCGGGAAAACTGATAAGTCTTGCTAATTGAACGCTATATTCGGTTCCTAAGCTCTTCTAGTAATCTCCAGGCTAGATCTACACAGAGACTTGAACACGAGAGAAAAGGTGCAAAATAGGCAAGAATCACTTCCCTCCGAAGGTTCATTTATGTACAGAAAATATAGGATGCTTATAGTATTTTAAACGTCCTTGGTTTTTCCCGAAAGTTCTAGAATACTACTAGGCATTGTAGCAGTGTAGTAATCATCCAATCAGAAACTCGAAATGTGACTTTCCAAATTCTAGTGAATGCAAATTGGATAAGATGCTTCTCAGTGTTTTAAGAACCTTTCTTAGCTTTTTTCGAAGAGTTTTCTGGATCCCTCCAACAAAAACCCAAGGACATCTAAAATGCTATAAAAACCCTATATTTTCTGTACATTAATGAACCTTCGGAGGAAAGTGTTTCTTGCATATTTTGCACCTTTTCTCTCGTGTTCAAGTCACTGTGTAGTTCTAGCCTGGGGATTTACTAGAACAGCTTAGGAACCGAATATAGCGTTCAATCAGCAAGATGTATCACTTTCTGAAGTTCATATATGTGAGAATGTTTACTCATAAATACAAATTGACTCATTCTTCCAATGCAAAAAGTCTATATAGCACATTTTACAAATTATAAAATCCATCTTTTATTAATGATATGTAGAATCGAGTCAAAATATCGGACATTTAAATTATTCATTCAAACTTTTATTAGATTTCAGGTGCCTATGTCAAAGGGAAATGGAATATTTAGTTCATTCAACATTGATCAAAATACAGTGAAATCTTCCACAAAAAAAATCAACTTCCACGACTCAACATGTGGAATATAATCCTTCGGAATTGTCTTAATACATTTTTAAACTTATACCACATGGCACACCAGTCAATCATAAAATACGCAAAACTAGGTAAACATTTACATCAGTTGAAAGTGAAATTATCAAGACAAATGACAGACTGGTAGTAGAAGTCACTAACAGTATTCATTATACTAGAAGATATCAGGTATATACAGTATGATTCGTAGAATTTAAAAAAATCTATAAGATAATTTTAAAACTGAAGATCTTTAGCGATAATAAGAGTGAATCTATCCACAGAATTGTAACAGATTTCTATAATCGTGAGAACCTTGCCCACATAAGTCTATACACACTAATATGATCCATTTCAACAGTCACTGATCTCATCTTCTAACTTATTACTGCACCAACTAAAGTCAAGCGTCGGAGAATGCAGGATGTAGGTATACATAAATTACATATCCTAACCAACTTAGTCAATTAAAACTACATATCTATCCATCAAAGATTTCCCATTCTTACACAAACTATGTGGAATCTGAAGGCGAAGTGAACCCACAACTCATTTATGTGTACTATACTAAATATTCTTCAATCATATATATATATATATACTAAAGAGGAAGAATGTATTTGTAAAATCTCAGCGAAACAATTTGAAGTAAATCCAACGTTTCGCCTGACAATCTGATCCAAACTTTTTTTCAAGACAATATAATTAAACATTAAAATGATTGAATATAAATCGGTACATGGTTCTCCGGTTTACTGTATACTGAATAAGTCATTCAATCAACGCTAACAATGTATAAAGTAGCTATTTACATTATAAATACATTCTTCCTCTTGAATGTTTCAAATCAACTCGGCGCCCAAGTATATATATATACATATATGTTAATAAGCGTTCTTTTTCATTCGATTTCTTTATCTTAGATTGGTTTCATTGATTACATAGTTTATCCATTATGGGAGACAATGGCTGAACTTCTACATCCAGGTGTACAAGTTCTAATGGATAATATAGCAAACAATAGAAATTGGTATATGAATGCAAAAGAGAAAGAAGAAAAAGAAGTAAATAAAAGAAACAACAGTATTGATCAGTAATAGTAAAGTATTACTATTATATTTTGTAAAAAAGATCTTTCATTAATTTTTTTTTACAAACAAACAAACAAAAAGCAACTGAATAACCAGTTCTTCTTAATATACATAGAAACCTCTTCGATATACATATACGTATTGAATATTGAACCGAAAAAAAAACAAAAAAAGGGGAGAAGCCCATAAGTAAACTCCTATATATTCATCTATCTTCTTTTATATACAAATCTCTTTATAAAAAGACAATAACATTTTGTGCCAAATATAAATAATAAAAAATATCTTTGTGCAAAAAAGGGAGGATCATTCAGATTATCATTGAATAAAGAGAAACTTTGATTTTTCTTTTTTTTTTCAAGGAAAAATAATGCACAAATTTGTAGGATTCATTTTATTTAGATAAAGTACTTGTTGTGATACAGTCGAGTGAGAATTTGTGCGAGTTTCTTATATATGTATGTTATGGTCCAAATCCATCAATCAGGAGCAGTGAATTATGGATCGGATCAATGACGAATAAAAACCCGTACGAACAGTTTATAGTCTTTATCGGTCCTGTTTCTTGCCTAGCCCAGCCACTTAAAATCAGAACACCAATCTCAGCCTCTGCAATATGAATCGTTTATTTCAAGCATACTGGGTTTATATACCAACCAGACAGACCACATCGTACCATAAAATATGAAACAACATTTGTACAAGAATTAGCCAATTGTGACAGTGAGTGTGGGAGCTCATAATTAATAGACAGGGCATAATTCAAAAATGGTAAATCGCATAATAATAGTTCATAGGTTAAAATAAGGCTCATAATAAGAGGGAGATGAATATGAATAATTTAGTTAATGAACAATTATACGACAAAAATATACGCACAGTATTGGTCCATAAATAAATCCCAAAAAACTACCACTCATTATTCTTATCGGGACACTACAATGTATGTTAGAATAACCGATTATTGAGTAATGTTGTGTGTAGGGGGAAAGATGTTAAATCAGTTAGTGAGAAAGTACGAACTCTTAACGATTGAGATCATTAGGATAGGTAACCACGAACGGAGTTGATTGACGAAGAATTAGATTGAAAGGAAGCAATCAAGTGAAAATATGACATAATACCGTGAAGTCGATAACTATTGAATTTGACCATATCTGTAGATGCATAGTGGGTGTCAATGAGATTATCGTGTTTTAGTCGGAAAGCGTCGAGTGTTATAAATCAGGATTGACGGCGACGACAAAGATATATTAGTCTTTTGTTTTCTCATAGATCTTGAATTTTAAAATGAACATTTACTTCTTACTTCAGAAATTCATTCATTCTGCTCTAATCATATTCTCAATGCGTAGTTTTTTCACTATCAAAATTATTATTACCTCAAAATTCATGTATCTTTGTAGTAATTTAGTAACTTAGATGGATACGTCAGTCAGTCAGTCAGCTACAACGTAGGACCAGGCACATATATGCATCGGTCCAAGTTGCCATACCTCATTAATACAACAAGATGGACACCGGATTCATAAAATTAGTTAATCCAGTTGTGGTAATATATAAAAGAAAGATTGAACATAAGGATGGATCTAGTACAGGAAGAAAGAATTAGTTCGTAGAAAGAAAGATATGAAGCGATTTTAATCTCTTAGTTTAAGGGAAGATAGAGAGTGTATACACCTACGCCATTGTGATCGATTCTGAGCCATGTCACCAAGAGTCTCCAAACATTGGTTACGATAGTCACGCGGACCCCAACCAAGTAGTCTGCATCTATCAACATAGCTCAGACTAGAAGTTAATGACTTCAAGCACTGATGCCACGTTTTGGTTTGGCCGCCCCTAATTCTCTTCCAACCATCTCTAACACCGGTTAGCATTGCACGTCGTGGTGATCGGTGTTCAGGTATACGTAACACATGGCCCAACCATCTCAGTCGATGAAGATTAACAACCTCATCAACTGATTTACCATCATTCCCTAATACCTTGCGTCTAACCTCACTATTACTTAACCGGTGATCCCAGCAATATTTCTAGGGCATCTGTGATCAAATACTAGAAGCTTACGAGTGTCTTCTACTCTTAATGGCTATGTTTCGCTGCCGTAAATTAAAACAGAACGGACTGCCGCGCAGTATACCCGTCCTTTTATTGATAGACGGATATCTCGCCTTCGTCAAAGGTGACGCAAGTTGGCAAAAGCCAAGCGAGCTTTTCGAATCCGTGCTGAGATTTCGTCAGACACCAACCCATTAGGGCTGATCAGACTTCCAAGATAAGTGAAGTTGTCAACGCGTTCGACTACTTCACTCCTTATCCTTAGTTCAGGTGTTGACGCAGATCTATGAGTTGATCAATTACACATACACAACCACAACTGATAACCTACAGACAACCGTTAGGTCCTTATTGGTCCACAGTTCTCCAGCCAGTAACAGAAATCAGTGAATGAATATTATATTCCAAGAGGACGTAGTCTATACAAAACATACTAGATCATATCATAAAACGAAAAATAATAATTATTCATGATCAAGGTTGAGTAGAGACACTGTGGATAACAAACTGTTAACTGATGAAGAACAGTAGTTAATGAGTAAATCGGGAGCTTATGATGAAATATATATATAATCTAGTTACTTAGTAATTATAAAATTAAAATACATCCATAAATTGTTCCTGGGAGGTACCATACCTTTAGTCTTCGTTCGGATATAGCACACACACACAGAGTCTGAAAACAAACCATGTGGATCAACTCAGTGTGTAATGAAGAAATCAAAACTGCTTTAATTGTATATTGGGTCACTTTATCGAACATAGTGTATATCTCTGGAGAAGTGTATTACAAGCATTTTCTACAAGCTGAATTCGGTTAGCTGTAATGATGATGAGGAGCTTATTAAATCATTCAAAGTAACAAAACAGATGACAATCTAAGCAAGAATCAATCAGGATTAAGAAAACGAGTATTGGATTTTGGCTCGAAATTCATTCATCCATATGCTTAAATAGCATTTCGGCGTTAGAATTGATACCCGTTTGCAATGGAAAACTTTACATTTTGATTGTGATTTCACACATTCATTGATAACCATCTTCACATTCAAGTAGGTTGGTGAATTTCCTAAAGGTTATGTTTACATCCCTCAATGGTCTTGCGATTGTGATTTAAGCAGGGAATGAAGACAAATGCTCAATTTTGCTAAATATTGTGAATAACTCCTTTCCATTGATTTCTACACTGGTTTCATTGTAAACTTTCTTCTATGTGTGGACTGAAAAAAAATTGTACTAGGAAAAATAAATAACTATCCAGTCTATTATCACTCAGCTGTTATAAATCGTATACTCAGGTTTAATATGATGCAGTCTATATTTAGTGTATTGAGTCAAAGTATTGTCGTATTACACTTTGAAAACGTGAAAAGAAAATTATACTTTCTCATTACAACTAATTTTCACATATTCAGTAACTTTTTAATTATGAAGTCATTAAAGTCTACTTATAACTGTTACTCAACATTTTGAATCCCGATCTTTTGTCCATTTATTCAAGCTAGCAAGTACCATGTACGAATCATTAATCAGGTATGAATGATGAATTCTCGAAAGAAAAGAAAAACGAACTATAAGCATATGTTCTACTTCTTCTTCTTCTCTACATTGGAACACTAGTGATCATTATTTTATTCACTAATCTACGACAGTGCAATTCCATTTAAATCATCTCACTGAACTCAGTCAGTCAGTAACAAAGTAGAACTTTGTACGTACGCACATCAGTTCGAGTTGCCACACCACATTACCACAGAGATGCAGTTGTCGATTCAAATCCCGTAGTGGTAGGGGTTGGAAAATTATAAGCAGTAATCAGAAAAATTAGGGTTTGAAGATGTTATTTAAGGAGTATAATCCAGTGAAATAAATTTGGAAAGACAAAAGAAAAGGGACATAAAGAATTCAGAAGATTAGAATTTGGGAGAACACAAAGAGTGGATGCATCTGCGACATTGCAAACGATTTTGAGGTATGTAATTCAGGATCTCTAACCATCGGTTGATATCATCTCGCGATCCCCAACCAGGTAGTCTACACCTACCAACATGACTCAGTCCACTTGTCAGTCACTTCATCGATTTGTGCCATGTTTTGGTGTGGCCGCCTCTAGCTTTCTTCCAATCTACTCCTATACAACAAAACATAGCACATCGAGGCAGTCGGTGGTTGGGCATACGTAACACATGTCCCAGCCGTCTCAACGGCTGAAGTTTCACTACGTCATCAATTGATTTGCCATCCTTACTTAGTACCTGTTTCCTAACAACTGCATTACTTACTCGATGGTTACAGGATATACGAGCAATGTTTCGAAGACATCTATGATCGAATACTAGTAGTCTAGGAATATCCTCTACTCTTACCGGCCACGTTTCACTGCCGCAAAGTACGACAGAACGAACTGCTGCGCAGTAAACACGTCCTTTGGTTGGTAAACGGATATCTTGCCTACTCCATAAGTGACGCAGGTTGGCAAAAGCTAGTCGAGCCTTCTGTATCCGTGCTGAGATTTCGTCATACACCAGACCACAAGGGCTGATGAGACTTCCAAGATCAAGATACATGAAGCGGTCGACACACTCAATTACTTCACTCCCTATCATTAGTTCGGGTACCGATGCAACCCAATCCTGAAGCGAAATTTTGCATTTCGAGGGGGAGACTCGCATGCCGAACATGTTTGCATTGTTGCTTAGAGTGGTCAGAAGACTGCATTTTGTCAGCGTCTTCACCAAATAAAACTATGTCATCTGCATATTCTAAGTCAACAAGTGAGTCTCCTGTTAGAAGTTCAACCCCTGGAACTAAAAAAAAGTGTTCACCACAAACTCAACATGCTTTTCTTGTTGTTTGAAAATGGGAGAATTTCATGAAAAAAGCTAGTTTCCACAAGTTAACAGCTATACATTCGCCAAAGGATGTCCTCGGCAGTAAATTTTACAAATGAGTGTCAAACGATCATAACGTTCAAATCTCCGTCAGTTCAGATAGAGAACGGAGTGTACCTCCACTAAAATCAGTCCATTGAGCGACAAAACTATTCCCCTCTCAACACTAGTACTTGTAAAAAGAATTTTTTTATAAAAAAAAGAAACAACCAAAAGCATGAACGTATTTGATTGATTTATTGACTCTGTGAAATGATCTCAGGAGTTCAAATGAATGATACGAATGTATATATGTTAAGCTCTATAGATGATAATAATGGAAATAATAATACTATTAGTCTTAAATGCAACAAAGATAAATGAAAAGAATACTCGAAATGATTCAGACACCGGAGAATAATAAAATTGATTGTATGTAATAAACGCACCGAGATTAATCAACGACACGTACACACACCATGAGCAAAACGATTGATATAAGAAATAGAGTAATTGAGATGACAATTTTTAGCTGTGACCAAAAAACAATTTCGTTCTTGTTCATTTGTAATGAAATTTCACTCGAACTAAATATTTTTGTTTCACTTGTGATACATGGTATACAATGTATTCATTATAACACAAAGTGGTATTTGCTACATTTGAATCAATCGGTTTACCAATAGGATAAACAACACCATCTTTATTGGTGTGAAATGTCGACGGATCCGGAGTAACTGACCCAATGCCTAGATAAATAAGAATGAAAAAGACCATAGGTGAAAGAGAGCCGCGATTTGTTATAGAGAGAAAATAGACACCCGCTTCGTAATTTTATAATATGAAATGGGTATTTTAATATAACTGCTTCACTAGAGATTTTGTTGAATCGTGATAAGAGCAACTAGTAGTATACAAAAACATTTCAACACTTAGACGCCAACACAGAAAGAAAAGACAAAACTAGAACAAAGTGAAATGATACAACTCTGTGTACATATATATGGTAATGAAAACGTGACCTTTAAATATAGAGAAATTTAGCGAAATAAAACGGTAATAGAAATCAATCAGCAAAAGCTATGTAGGATTATCATTATCAGCAAGATTTTTAGCGTTATTAAGTTACCTTCTGATTATCTTGGCTGATTTAAAATCGGAGAGTCACACTGTACCTGAAGTGCTTGTATTTGTGTTAGAAAGAAAACAACTACTGTCTGACCTACAATCTGCCTAGCTCTAAACCACTAGTCTTACCAATATATCTGTCTCACATGCCCAGTCTATCATATATATATATATATATATATATATATATATATATATATATATATATATATATATATATATATCGAAAAATTGTTTGCTAACCACTCGTTAGTAGCTTTGCATATTTCTACTACAAAATTCCATCCTTACAACTGATTGGTTAATTGTAATCTCAAAGAATTAGTCGCTTTGATAAATTTCGATAATCGTATTTGTACTAGTGATACTATTGAAGTAGAGATGAAGCTCTTGACTGATGCCTTAATCAATAATGGTTACCCTTTGAAGTTCATAAACCGCTGGAAGGGTTGCAATATGACTAGACCTATGACGCTTCTGGCACCCAAAAAGCGAGTTTATATTACGCTACCATTCAGAGGTGACACAAATAGTCTCATGTTGAAACAGACTTAAATTAGCTATCAACCGGACATTTTATGCAGCCCAACTTGTCATGATCGAAAAGACAAGGTCTATGTTTCACCAAAAGCTCAAACAGCACGAAAACGATTGTGTCACATCCCATTGTGTCTATCAATTTACATGTATGTGTGGAAACACATACGTAGGGAGGAGCAATCGTGATTTGCAATTAAGGGTGGGTGAACATATACCAAAATGATTGCAGAATCAGATGAATTCCAATGGTGAAATAAGATCACAGGATAGACAGACATCATCATCCATTGCGAAACCTTTGATTGAGACGGGTCATAAGGTTGACATCAAGTCAGCATTTGTAGTGTAATACAAAAGCCTTCAAGAACGTATACTAAGGTTTTATTGAAGCCTTGGCTATACGAAAACTGAAACCCCCTTTATGCGTTCAAAAACAATTTGTGCTTACACTTAACCTACCCTGGTAGTACTGATTTACTATCCAGAGTGGTAATCATATTTGTTTTTGTGTACTTTAATATTTTTCCTTTGTTATGACTTACCCTTAACCTGTCTAGTCGACCTTTTAATTTTTCATATATAAATGTTCTTAACAAGTATATGTGTGATCAGATTGTTCGAAATGTATTGCGCAAATATATCACATAATTCTGATAAACTATGTCTTCTCATTGCATTATCGTAATTGTAATCTGGCTGCTCTTTTATTATTGGTTGATGATACATATTCTAACTGTCCAATCATATTACAATGTGAACTGGTGATTTTTGTGCATGTGCTAATCGTTGACTGATTGTCTTGTGGTTGAGTTTAACACTTTGAATGTGGGATTTTTTCTGAAATAAAACTAATTTTTATGAACTGTAAAACCGTTAATTATTCGTACATAGTCATATTCCAAATATTCAAAGAAATCAAGAGTTCATCCGGTCTGATTCAACCTTAGTAGTGTTATTTTGATAAATCTGATGAATCAGCAATCACATGAAGGTAGATTGTGAATACCTTCAGTTACTCATTATTAATTGCTTAAGCCTGTTAACCCCCATAAACTGTAAGCTGCTAAACAGAATTCTCCATCGAATTCTTTCATCGGCGAACCTTTCCTGATGTTATCAAGTATTATTTATCCTTTTCATGTCTGCTTCCAATTCTCGATTCATTGTGCTCTTTGGTCTTCCTCTTTTCCCTTCAGGATTCCAAGTTAGGGCTTGCCTCGTGATGTAGTTTGATAATTTGCGTAATGTATGTCCTATCCATTTCGATTGTCTTTTCCTAATTTTCTCTTCAAATGGAACCTGGTTTGTTCTCTCCCACACTAAGTTGTTGATGACGGCATCCAACCAACTGACCTTGAGTATCTTAAGTAGACAATTGTTTATAGATAACTGTACTTTGCTGATGATGGTTGTAGTAATTCTCCACGTTTCAGCTCCGTACAGTAGAACTATCTTGACGTTTGTATTGAAGATTCTGACTTTGATATTGGTTGACAGTTGCTTCGAGTTCCATATATTCTTCAACTGTAGGAATGCTGTCCTTGCTTTGTCAATCCGTGCGTTTACGTCTGCATCAGATCCTCCTTGTTCTTCGGTGATGCTGTCTACGTACATGAAAGATTCCATATCTTCCAGAGTTTCCCTATCAAGTGTGATTTGGGAGTGTCATCAGTGCAGTTCAAAGAGTGGGTTATTTCAGGTAGTCTGACAACAATACCAGAGAACGAAATCGAAAGAATAAAAGATAAAGTATTGGACTACTCACCTTTACGACTATGATAGTTTGGTGGCAAGTCACTCGCGTCCGCTTGTAAACATTCATTCATATCACCTAGGATAACTTCACATAATAGTAAGAGTCCTTCCGGTTGAGATTGTGTCGTAAAACAGTAATTAGCTGATTTACTGACAATATCAGCGAAATAAATACCTTTGCCAAACATATAACCAGTAACTGGAGCGTCAGGCGGTGCAATTCGTAAACCTTGAGATCTGGACATCAAGTGAAAACACAAATAGTAAGTGCGAGAGTTTTTAGAACATGGTGAATATAGAAATCGATGAAGGTTTAGATACACTCCGATCCAATAATTTTCGTGATGGTTAGATGTTTGTCACAAGACCTGTATGTTCTGAGTTCAATAACTAGAAGGATTGTGGAAGTGTGTCGCTGAGAAGTCCTACAATTGGATGGGACGACTATCTAGTGCTTTCCGGTTTCCACTGGCTGCTTAAATAAGGTCAGTTCGAATTGTAAACTGTAAAATGAAAAATTAGTCTACTCATGTCTGAACTACTTTTATAGTGGGAATGGAAGTTAAGCTATGCAAACCGAATTACGTAGCGTTAGAAAAATCTGTGAGGCTATTCAACGAGCCTTTGACCTAGAGGTAAAATGTACAAGGTTTTGAAGAAACGATTAGGAGATGCGGTCACACGGCAGCCAGTGACCAAATATAGGTTCATATGCCATTTGTTTCTTCAAGATCCTGAAGCCCTTGTGCACCAATGTTTCGGAATCAGAGGTTTCCATCTCCTCTAGGTGGATACTTCATACCCAGTGGTAGTTGGAGGTAGTCGACAGGAAACCTTGAACCTAGGTTTCGTGCTATTCGTCACTCATTCCCTGTCATCCAGCTTCACAGTCAGAAGAGTTACCACTGAGTTATCCGGGACAAGAATGAACTCCTGCAGGACTGAGATGTATCTACAATTGAGTGATCACTGGGTAGTGATTAGTGTCAAGTGTATCAGGTCCTCCTGCTACTATACGATTTATTATTATTAATTTATTCCCAATTTATTAGCTACAATCTGTCCTACTCATAGCCAATTTTGGCTTGATTTCGAATAATAATTATTCCTCATTTTATGGTGTGATGCGGTCCGGTCTGTATGTACATAAATTACGTATGTCTGAAATACATTATTTAACCAATGGAGGCTGAGATTGTGTTTTGGACTCCATGCTAGGGCTAAGAGATAGGCTACTATACAGCCGACCAAAAAAGATTCAGAGTCGACTCAAAACTGACATGTCATTTGGTTTAGCATAGGGGCAAGGTCACAGAAGTCGATATTCTGACTGACGGTTCTTTCACATGATAATTGATAGACATAAGTTATAAGAAGTTTAGTTTGTTCTGCTTGTATTTTAAGTTGCAGGAGTTGGAATTAGCGCACATATTTTACAGAAGCCATGGTATGAATGATAGCTGAAGATTCAATTTACAAACTATTTTGGCGAACAAAAACTAAACATAATAAATAAAGGACTCAATGATTTTATAGCTGAGATTAGAAAATTTAAAAACAACTTTCGAAAGAAAAGTAAAAAAATAAGCTTACAATATACCCATCCAATTTGTTTGACGTGAACCATGCCATAACAACTGTTTATTATGTTGAGCAATTTTACACTTGGCAAAACGACTATCCTCTCCATCACGATGTACTTCAAAGATATTTAATACTTCGAGTGTATATTGTGTATGTGTAGCGCCATGAGTCTCACGTACATAATCCAAAATCAATTTATAATCTTCACAATTACTATCTAAAGGCTGTGTGTTTACGCATAAGAATGAAGAAACATACATTCAATTATTTATTTGAAAAAAATTACTATAATTAAGAATAAATTTTATCTGGTCACTTGTACAACTTGACAGATTAATAAAAGTGGTGTGTGTAGGGTGAAAAGTGATCAAGGACTGATTGAAACAAACGGTACTGAGTTCAAAACCCAAAGTGAACAACTATAGGATGCAGGTACATTCCACATAGGACGAAACGCGCGTCCACTACTGGTCACATTTCATTTATTCTGTGCAGATAATTGGTTGGTTATTGAGCGGGGATAGATATATCTAGTTATATTAATTATATAAGACTATCTTATGTACAAAGCTGATTTCCCGCTTGTGCTCCATTTGATGACCGCCTGTAACCCTTATGCTTGATTGAATTCGGTTCCTTGAACAGTTATTAGACAGCTGAGTCCAGTAGGTTATGTCATCTTTATTCATTCTATCTACCGAATTAAGTGTTTAGTTGTACCAACCTGATTATCGAGTGATTATTTAGTGTCTATTGTACGATTTTATCAAGTGTTACGTTCAGTAAAACTGCTTATTTCTTAATTATATCATAAATGAACGAATTTGTGAACGGAGTTTGATGAATGAAAAAAAAACTGGCAAAGAAGCGTCAATAACCAATCAAATGTGACAGGATCATTATTGTGGAAAATTATCCACATATACTCAGAAACTAACTTTAGATGAAGAGCTCATCTGTAGTCAAACATTTTTAGTCTATGTAATTTAAAAGGGTAAAAGTATAATATACTGACATCCCTGAGTTAATCAATCAGAATCAAGATAAATTCTCATGGATTTTGTGCAAATTTTTAAGTGCAATGATAGGTAACTTTTGTGTTCAGTCAGTGAGTAACAACGTAGAACTTCGTACGTACGTACATCAGTTCAAGTTGCTATACCACATAAGCACAGAAATACGATTATCGATTCTAAGTAACTTGTGTGTTGATATTAACTAGATGAAAATTGACAATAATTGATTTTTAGAATGTTCGAAAACAATAAAAACATCTATTATGCTACCCAAGTGTGAATTTAGAACGTTGCTCAAAATAAATGAAAAAAATATATCTACTTCAAAGGTAGATTACGTGTTAACGTACATAATGTGATCCGATGCGTAGTCAAGTGTTTTTATTTATTTGAACACAGATATTGGTACAAGGAGGCATCAAATACATATGCGCCACACAAATCTCATTTGATTTGTGTGAGGGCTGTGGTACTGCCCAGGTGCCCGAACCGAAGCTGGTAGTTTTCTTAGGAGGCCACACCCGGAGCTTTCGACCTAAAGGTCTGATCCATAAGGCAGTGGAGCGACGTCAGGAGATGCAGTTCCATGATAATGGAGCCCATGTACACCATTGATTTGAAATCAGGGTTTTCCAACTCTCCTAGGTGGATTCTCTGTGTCCACCAACCCGGTTTGCTTTTCGTCCTGTCAATTTCGCAAACACTCCTGCCACGAGAAGGCAGTGAGTAGGACTTCCCTGGCAGAGGCTAAATACGCGTGGCCATGTGAGAGCATTTCGAGAGGGAGAGCCGACTCTCCTCACTCTCGGCCGTATCAGGGTAATTGGGGGTGTTAAATGAAACTAAATTCTATTCTCCTTTTCCAACTTTCTCTATAAATCTCAACCCTATGTTTGTAAGCAACAGGATGGTAAAGCATTACATTATGACTGACATCAGTTTGTGATGAAAATCCTAATTTTAAATTCAGGTCAAAACTCTAACCCTACTCTTAACACTTAGTTCTAGGCTTTTTTGCATAATAGCCCTAACTCACAACACTAGCCCGACACTCCTAATACGTAAACATTACCTTTACTACATTAACAGGAACGTGACTGTGTTTCAAAACGAAACAGCAAGTTAACCAAGTTGGTGTTACCATAAGAATATTCTCAGTATATTTACAACTTATAGACAGGAACGTTCTAGAGTCTTCCCCATTTATCCGCTAGCGCTGACTAGGTTAAAAAATCGCCCAATCAGAGTACTCTAATGTGACTCTGCATAGACCATAATTTAATCCAATCTATGCCCTGCCATATATCATAAAGGAAAGCCAATTGAAAAACAGGAAATATGAATGAATGATTTCTTTTACTACGAATGGGTTTTAAAGTTTCGGATTTGAGATATATGGTTACAGTTAGTACTAGGATTCAAGTTTAACATTGGGATTTAAAAATAGAATAATGTTCTACGATTAGTTTATATGTTCCATGAATCCAAAATTTTATTTTTAACGTTGACTTGTTATATATTTAATGTCGTTCTCGTAATTTAAGTTAATCATCTAAACACGACAGACAATATAATATTTTGATATATGGATCATGTGACCTTGAAGTCACTTTGCTTGCCCCTCTGAATGAGTTTTATTTGTAAGTCAATTGCACTGTGAAACACCCTTGAGATTGAGTGCCGAACAGTTTTTTTTTTTACTAAGATAGGACTATCGGTGAATTTGAAAAAACAGAATGACCTAAAACCTTCCAGTTTGTGAATATTAAAGTATTCATTAGCAGTTATGATCTATGTGTTTCTTAAACGTATGCTAACATTAGATTACTTGTCACAGTTAGTCACTGGACAAATAACAGGGTCACGTAAGTAGTAACCTTATTAATTTGTGGAATCATTACATTGAATTCAGTGAGTATGACAAGGTTCATCTATTTTTCAGTAAAATGTATAGGTCCAAAATAAAACGGACCTGTTCATCAATACAAACATAAAGTTATCATTGAATATAAACCCTAAGATGGATTGATTATTCTATGAGCTGCAGTGAGTAAAACTACCGTAAATTTGATTTCAAATATACACCGAATAATCTAGTTGAAAGGATTTCGTGGAGTTCTGTAGATCGTATCCGCCACATATGGGTCCCAGTCACAGAATATATCGTTGCTATCCTCGTGTCTTGATAGGACCAATGTAGATTGAAATTTTCAGTCATTGTGTTTATAATAATGGTCAAAGAGTGAGTTTTTGGTCACATAGACAGAAAAGAAAGCGATTAGTAACATCAATAATTAAATAACACGGTCACGCAGGTAAAATAAACAAGAGAATCCAGGTAACAATATTTTACCTCACCTCTAATTTAGTATGCAACTGTTCATAATGCTCTTCCAATGGATTACGTTTAGAATCTCCTTTAGTTTGTAGCATTTTATAAGCTAATTCAATTTCTAACAGATCTTCTAACATGCGTATTTTCTTGGTAATAATTTTCTTATTATCTAACATTGGTGGTGTTTTGAAACCGAAATCATGCGGGATCAATGTATAGAAACGTGTAGATTCACTTAGTATTTGTGTTCGATCCAATGTTTGAGATTGTTGTTTAGTAGAAGGACGTGAACTAACAAGTTTACTGAGAGAATTCAATACATCATAAGCTTCATGAATTTGATTACTAGACAGTTTACCCAAAGGCATTTTTCTTAGATCAAGCTGAAAACATATGAATTTGGAAGAAAAAAAGTAAATATGTTTGATGAAAATATCGAAAATACGATAATTTAAACAAATTAGACTTCTCAAAAGACTTGAAAATTCTTTTCTGAGTAATATTGAATATTGTCGAGGAGTTCCACTAAACTAGTGTGATCAGACAACCACACAGAGGTGACATGCTAGAAATGGTGTGGTATTTTCACGACCAACGGCTTTCAATACACTATTCCGTCTTCGGGAAAGTAACATGAGCGGAAATGTTGATTGTTCGTGGAAAACACTCAGATGTTACTATACCCTAGTATAAATGGCAATACAACTTTGTCCTCAAGCCTAATATTTACAACCAACATGTTTGGGATAGTAGAGCTTCAAAAAACAGCCAGTGTATTGCGATTAAAATTCTAAAATATCTAGGGTTTTGTATGCTTAAACACAGTTGATCTTGTTCTCATCACAAAAATGAAATAACCAATGAAATACAGTGATGTATCAGAACCAAGACTGAAGAAATATCAGCTCCTTGGAAATATTTGATGGACTAATATATATATATATATATATATATATATATATATATATATATATATATATTCCGTTTATCGTAAGCTTTTGTTTAACCCATGAAATGTTGTTGCTCATTAGCACTTTTGGTTTGTCTATCCATGATTGTAATTTGGCAATTTATGGGGGGATGTGGTCCAGTTTATATTTGCATACAAACCCACCTGTGTTTAAAATATGATATAACATTAGGCGGCCACTGACTACTACTGGAACTCTAGGTAGGGAATGGAGAAAAAGCTTGTGGATAGTAGACCAATAGGAGCTTAGTTTGCATCGGCTCAAGGTTAAATGTGTTAGATAGGAAGCAGAATTCGTCAAGTCTAAGTCTATGATAATAGGTTATAGACGGAACAGTAGACGAGAGATAGAGAATTTTATGACCAGAATTCGAATTGACGACTTTAGCATGTAATATAGATTAGCGCCCTAGGATATAACTAGCGGGTAAAGGAAAATAACAGTGAAGAAATAGATCACCTTCCTTTCTTTAACAACAAAGAAATTAACTCACTTCAAACTCCGCCATTGTTTTTTCCATAGATTTAACATCACAAATAAATTTTAAGAGCGACTGTAGAGCCGGGTGTAGTTTACATGGTATATTACTGATAGTTTGAATTTCATTCTTCTTTGACTGTAAAACAAAAACACATGGATTAAAAGTGTATGATTAGGTTCACATCAACGTAAGTAATATAGATGAAATCTAAGCATAACGTCTTTATAGAATACGAATTACGAATAGGTTCGTCAATGAACTGGACTTGTGTAATCACGGTTTTGTTGTTTTTACGACGGTCAGTGATAAAAGGGACTCTCCAGAAGTGTGCATACACGATCCTATACTAAGACGAAACGACCAACCAGTTCAGTGATTCCAGGTTTTCAATGGTAATCTAGCTAAGATCAGATAGTGACTTAAAACTCTAAAAATTCTAGTCTTTACAGATCCTCCCTACATTAATAAAATCTTTATTAGCATAAGAATGGCAATTTATTCAGTGATTTGAAAGAAGCCTCCAAACATTGTTTCTACTCAGGGTCAAGTATTCAGGACAGGGGCTAAGGAGTTTAGTGTGGGTTTTCAAAGGAATCGATATCGACTACAATGTAAAATTGCTTTCGATAAGTAAACTACATGTTTAAATCCAAGAAACTTTGTTCGATTAGCTCGTCCAGAAAAAAAAGAGTACCACTAGGTTAAGAGTTGTTTCACCATTAAATTTTTGGGATTAGCATTCAATTGTAATATCAACTTTCCTGTGATATACAACCTACAAGGAAAAACTTCAGTATTTGATGCGTTTAACGCTATCATTTTACTGAACAGCGGCAAAAGTTAGTTTTTCGCTATCATTTCAAATACTTTAAGCAGTATAATGACAGTATTTTTATTCATCGTTATCCCAGATATTTCAATTTTACGGGGAAACCTAGAATCAAGTAGGAAGTCAATAGTTCAGTTAACATGTGACATACTTAACAAATATGTTGATCCAGGTTCAAGAAGAAACCTTTCTTTTCATAGAATGCTTCAGTTAAACATGCTTTGTAATGACAGGGATAAGGATTGAAATCATTCAATTTCAAACATATTGGAAGTGATCTTTTCATAAAAATCAGAGGAATTAATATTGACGCATTCTAATTTAACATTTTTTCTTTAGTTATATTTCCGTAGTTTTTCGTAGAACGGTTACATCAATTCCAACAGCGTTTCAAACACATACATCTCAAGAATATTGGTGTAATTAGACTGATGATATACGCGAGTGAAATATATATACTCAACTGAAGTAATGGCAGATGATACTACAATCTATTAGGAGTAATCAATAGAAATAGTGATCTCCAGTTTTCAGTAGTAAGGATAGGAGGTCTACCGACCTATATTAATCCTTGTGGTTGGTAACACTATGGAGGTCCAATCTCGTTTTAAACATATCTAAAGAGGTTTGGGACTCTTCAATAGTGTGTATTCACAGTCTCCCACTGGATCGAACTTAAAATTTTCAGGTTTACGAGGTGATATAATTAAGCAGATCTTGATACGATCATTGAAACATTTACATTAATCGTCAATAAATACGATTTTTACCTTTAAAACTTTATTGACCTACAAAATATTAGATAAAGTATGGTCTATGACTGTAAAGAACTCATATTTAGAACAAATACTTTACTCTTTACCAACTACATTATTAAACAATCCAAAGCTAAGATAAACAATATTGATTAAATGATTTGTGCTGATCAGTTCAATAACAAAACTGATTGCCTAACTGGGTTGATCCAACCACATGATAATATGAGTGTTAAAACTGGAGTAGAAAAATCTCTATTTCATTGACCGATGACTTCAAATATTGATTTGCACTTTAGCCGGTTCCTTTCAAGAAGTAATTAAGATACATTTGGTAAGCCGCTGAGTTCGTAGCGTGACAACGACTCCGTGAACCCATTGTTATTCCATCGTACTTATGTTTTTTTAAGGAAAACAACTATGTTTTTGATTGAGGTAGTTTCCGGGAGATTGGTTTAATTTGTAGATTGTATTCATCACAGACTGATCTCCATTAAGGTACCATTGAGAATTAGGGAAAACTTTTTGGCTCTAGCGTGAGACTACTCTCAACAGTGTTCCCACAACCTCTGCAGGAACAGAAAGCAAGGACCTTCAGGCCACTCAACGAACATTTACTCGTAAGAACTATTGAGTCGGTATCCAGTAGCACAGACTCATCTGCAATCAATCCTCAAAAAAGTGAAACGACCACTCACTGCCAATAGCGACAATGGTACCCCGCTTGTGATCAACCTTATAAGCCGTATCTTTGATTTCCATTTAATAATCAAAAGAAAAAAGAAAAAATATAACAGTTCACTTACAGAGTTATAATCTAATTCTAACTCATAGAATTTATGTGGCATTTTACGAAAGTTTTTACGATCCTCCCATTCATTGCCAGTTTTTTCAAAATAAATCTCTTTGAATGTTGAACGAGCTGAAGTGGCATTAGGAAACGATTCAATTTTAGTGCCACCAATCGATGTACCAATACGACCCCATGCGCGAAATACCCAACAACGTGATGATTTATCAGATTGAAGCGCTTGAAGTCTGTAGTGGAAAGGAGGATGTCATTATTTGGAAAAAAAACACATAATTGTTCAATAATTTATAGTGGATGAGAAAAAACGGATATATTGATGAGGGATATTAGGAAATGTAACCAGCACAAATGATCATATGGAGTAGGGTACTATGGACAATATTATATACAACTGTAGTGCTTTAATATAGAAAAAAACTGTATATCAGACGACATAATCACAAAAAATATATAACACTAATACATTTTTTGAATGAATTACAATAATTCACTTCAGTCAGTTAATCATAAAGAAAGTAGAACCTGGGACATACATGTATATTAGTTCAATTTGGCAAATTATATATGTACAACGAAATGAGATGACCACGTTTCGCAGGCGTAAAGTAGAACACAAAGAACTGCTACACGCTATACTCGTCCCTTAATTGATTGACGGATATCTCACCTTCACCATACGTAACGTAAGCTGGCAAAAGTCGAACGGGCTTTTTGAACTCGTGCAGAGATCTCGCCAGACACCAACCCATTAGAGCTGATCAAACTTCCAAGATAAGTGAAGTTATGGATGAGTTCGAATACTTCACTCACTATCCTTAGTTCAGACGTTGGCGCAGGCCAGTCCTGAAACACTTTGCATTTAAAGGGGAAGAAACGCATTGTTGCTCGGTGCTACCAAAAGACTGTATTTTATCAGCGTTTTCACCAAACAGGATTATGTCATCTGCGTATTGTAAGTCGGTAGGCGGACATCCTGGAAGGAGATCAATGCCCGGAAATACGGTCGACGAGGAAGTTATTTCTAGCAGTAGGTCTATGATGAAATTAAACAGAAATGAGGACAGTAGACAACCTTGACGGACACAACTTGAGGTTGCAAAATCACATGACAGTTCGCCGTATTGATAGTGTTCGAGTAAATAGCATTCACTTCAGAGGTACACCTTTCAATGACAGACACTGTCACAGAACCTCTTAGTCAACAGAGTCAAATGGTGCTTTTAAGTCACAAAAAACACTGTCGGACGCCGAGAAGCAAACCTGTGTTCTAAAATCTGACGAATGGTGAAGATGTGGTCGATGCAGCCACGACCAGGTCTGAAGCCAGCCTGGTTTTCTAGTACTTGCAGTTAGCTCACAAGTCTTTGTTAGGCGTCCGATAATTGTTGAGGCTAAAATTTCAGACGCCATATTAGTCAAACTAATCCATCTACGTTATCACAGGATGATTTTGATCATTTCTCATATATCGTACAATCTAAAGACAAGGTATTTATTAAAAGATGGCAACAGCTTGTGCATACACTTTCTCTTACTAATGAGACGCAAGAAACAGTCAAGCAGTAGTGCATTTGTGCAGTGAAGCAACACTATTGATGACGATATAGCAGATAAGATCAATCTATGTATAATGAAGATAGGACGACTTATAGCAATTTGGGTCATTTTCGAAGACGTTATAATTGTCAACCTCGTATAATGAGACTAGTTATGCAAGTTTACAGTCGAGTAGTCGTGCCATGCATACGTTAAAAACTTGGTCTCTTTGAACAAAGGGTGTTTTCAACCTTCATTATCTTCAAATGTTTGATTACGTACTGTAGCATCAACATACAATTAGGCTGAAAATTGGTAACACCTGTTAGGGTACAGTGAAGACGTTTTATACATGGGATTCGTAATGAGCATTCTTATTTGAAGCTGGAACAAATAGAAAAAAGCGAAGCGATTGTTAGTTTATGATATGACACCACTAGTCAAACGATTATTTGAAGTTGGGAAACAGTAAACTATGGAAAGCCATAAGTTTGCTCATTTAAGTCTGATTATAGTTGTATTTTTATGACCTTAAAGCGATGTTGGACACCATTGAATGAGAGACTTAGTGACACAGTATTTGTGATTAAAAGGTGTACGAGGAAAATATTTGAACCTTGAGAAGGTTCTTTACCCGATTACTAGTGGTGGAGTCTATAGAGAGTTTTCAACCCCAAGTAGTGTTCGTCAGGATTAATCACTAGTTGTACAGTCAACAACGTCTATTAAGAAATCACAGGCTTCTTGTATGTATAGGGCTATCATTCAGAAATAATTACATTGAACCTTCTGTCGTAATCTTGATAAACAGTAATATGTGCTTTCAGGAGAAAATTGAAGTGACACTATAACTTACACGCGCGCACACGATCAACAAAAAAATGTATTACACAAATATATCTCTACACTTACTTGTAAAATGAATTGGAACCTTTGATTAAATCAACCATACCGAGTACAGCAGTCATGAATTCTCCCTTCTCATCTTTCAATACTGTGGCTTTATTGACCAGTTCTGATTGAGGATCGACCACTGCACCATTTTTCATTATCATTCGCATCATTTCTTGTTCACCGTTATCATCATTCAATAGTAAATTTTTCACCTCTTTCTCAACTATATAGGTAAACAAACATTAGGACAATATTGGCAGTTGTGTGATCGTTTAAAAAAAATTTTTGAAGCCTAGATTGAGTATAACTTAATATGTATATTATGCGAAGGACCTAGCATACTATTTTATGTAAGGTCAACGCTAAAAGGATAATCAAAAAGGAATGGTGAAAGTGTACTACACTGACAAACCAATCAGATTAAGGATCGAGGCTACTGAATTTTGCACAGAGTTCGAAGCGTGAAGTGCCCCAAATGCCCTGGTACGGCCGAGGGTCGGGATAGTGAGGTCTTTCTCTCTTAATGCTCTCACATGGCCATGCGTATACAGCCACTACCAGGGAAGTCCTACTCATCGCCTTCTCGTGGTGGAGGTTTACGAAATTGAGAGGATGGAAAGCGAATGTCTGGCGCTTCAACCGGGTTGGTGTATATAGGGGGTCCACCCAGGGAAGCTGAAAAATTTTGATTCCAAATCAATGGTGCATATGGGCTCCAGTATCCCGAGGGAACAAATGGTGTATGGACCAATTACTGGTTACCGGCTATCATGGAACTGCATCTCCTGACGTTGCTCTACTGCCTTGTGCATCAGACTTTCAGGTCGAGAGTTGCGGGTGTGGTCCCCTAAGAAAACCACCGGTTTCGGTCTGGGCACCCGGAAAGTATCACAGCTCACACGCAAATCAAGCGACTTGTGTGGTGTATATGTATTCAGTGCCATTCTGTACCCATGCTTATGTGTTCAAATAAATAAACACTAATCGTCAACAAATACGATTTTCACCTTTAAAACTTTATTGACCTACAAAATATTAGATAAAGTTCGGTCTGAGACTGTAAAGAACTCAATTTAGGACAAATACGTTGCTCTTTACCAACTACATTTTTAAACAACCTAAAACTAAGATCAGTTGATCCTTGTTGTATACAGTACAGTATGACACGATAATTAGAGATATCTTTTTCTTCATAGTTCAGTCAACTTTATTTACACAGACATATATAACATGACTACTCCACTTGTCACACCTTAGATATTTGAAGTTTGGTACAGGTCTACAGAACTTGAGATTTAGTAAACAATCGAGCTAATATGAACGATTTTTGTGAACTCAATAGTGGCAGCAGGGACAAAAATTTATTTTTTATTTATTTGAGCACATAAACAATGGTACAAGGGGGCACCAAATACATATGCATCACATAATAACAATGAGGCCAGTGGCAATTATTATTGATCTGTGTGAGATCTATGATACTGCCCAGGCGCCCAAACCAAAGCACGTTACAGGGACAAAGAACAATTCAACCATTAACCGCTAACAATAGGAGAAAACGAAATGTAGAAATTTTGATATTTAGGCAAAAGAACTCAAAATGATTTAACTCAGTATATATGTAGTAATAAGAACATGAACCTGAGACATACATAAAATTAGCGGACCACAAATTACTGAAAAACCAATCAGTAAAAAAGAACAGACCAAAGATCATGTAAACAAGATTTAGAATTTCGAAAAAAGAAAAGCGATTGAAGTTACCGTTATTATTAGTAAAACATTATTATCAACACAAAAAAGAACTAAGTAATTCGTGTGATTGTTTTAGCAATGCCCAACCCACTTTTTTCTTAATAACACCAGGTTAAAACATTCAAAGGTTTTGTTTAGTAAAACAAAATACATAAAAATCAATGCATCAAGTAATCCATTAAAAAGACTATATATAAATATATATTTACCTTTTAATGCACGAGCCTTCCGGTAAGAACAATCCCAGTAGTTGTAATAATCCATAGAGAAGGAAAGAAAGTAAGGAATGTAAAAAAATGTATACTGGATTTAATATTCTAATATGTCAGTAAGTAAAATTCGCCTGGTTGATATTTCAGCTATACTATGCAACATCTACAACCATGATCGATCGAGAGAATCCTAACTTGATAGTTTGCACTAACCAACCAACGCAGCTTAGTTCAATAGTCAATGACTTTATGAACTGAAATAAAATAGTTGGGACATGTATTACGTAGCATTAACCAAATCACCTAACTTAACATGATATCTGTTGATATAAGAATAGATTGGAAGAAAGCTAGGGGAAATTTTGATTTGGTCGCCCATTCCCCCTAGCTTCCTTTCAATCTATTCTTATATTGACAAAAATATCACGTCGACGTACGTGTTGTGGTCAAGGCTACGTAGTACATGTTCCAACTATCTTATTCAATAGAGATTTACTGCTTAATCAACTGATTCATCATGTTTATTTAGCAACATGCATGTAATCTCAACAGGGCTTACTCTCAGTGATCCAAACATGCACTACATATGCATCAAAGTTATCTATGATCAAATACTAATAGCCCATTTTTAAAAGCCACAATCCACAGTGATGTAGTAGAGCAGAACAAATTGATGCGCAGTATGCTCGTCAGGCAGATGGACATCTTGCCTACGCCACAAGTGAGTCATGCTAATAAGAGCAAAGCGAGCTATGCAAACCGGTTACTCACACTTTCCAAATCATATTTCTTATGGTTAAGACGAGAGATTTGTGGAGACTAATCAATTTAAAGGATAGTTTACATCATGGACTGACTAGATTTGGTTATGAACAGTTATTAAAGACCAAGGAGCACCGAACAACTATTTTTAAACGAACTGTGACTTATCAAAAGTGTATGCACCTACAACACTATCACTGATTGAACCCACAACCTTGGAGTTTTGCAGCGGCCATGTTTTTTACTAACTAATCACTAAAATTATAGTGCACAATGGGTGCTAATGGACAATATAATTTAATGTAAATAAACAATTCCTATTAAAAAAGAAAACAACACCAGAGACAACCACTGTGTTTTGATGTTTGAATACGCGTCTAGTGTACATACCTTCACCTCCCAATTGGATATTGTATATTTGGCTAAGAGTTGCTGGATTTTCGATTCCAATTTTTTAGAGTCCAAACTGTTAGGATTGAATTCTGATAAGAAGTGTTCATTAATGACACGTAAACCATAAGAACGTGCAGTTGTCAGAGCTTCTTTCGAGTAAGTTTTATTCGTATCATTATTATCACTTTGAATTTGTTCCAATTCGTTCAATGTGGAGACAACAATTGAATTAACACTGAGCTACAATGCGAGTAATAATAATAATAATAATAATTATTATTATTATTATTATTATTATCATTATAGGATTCCCACAATTTTTAAAAAGTGATCGATTAATACACAAAAATCAACAGGTTTATACGAAAAATCAAGCAGTAGAATAGTGAATAGGTTCAGGAATTAAAATATATGCGGTTTAGGTGGATGGCTTTCGGTAGTATTTTGTCCGACATAAATGTGGCTAGGAAGAAAAGTTCAATATTTCTCTAGATTATAGAAACTCTAAGAATTCAAGAGAATACATGAAAGTGCAACATTCAGACTGACAACCAATTGATAAACATCTAATACATTAAACCGTACGGTAGAGATCAAGGATATGATCGGAGGTCAGCCGAACTAAATAGTCAACTTGAATACTAGAAGAAATAAAAAAACGAAACCTATGAAGATAGTCAGTCACAAAAAAGACCATTAGAACGAACTAGTTCAACAATTGAGACAACATTAAGAAGTACACTTGTACATGAAGTAGGCGCCGATGTTGTCCAGAAAGAAAATGAAAGCTATACAATTAAGTCGTTTAGTTCAGAAGATACAATACCACTAAAACTGAGAAATATTATTCAAGAGAAAAGGATTAGCTAGAAAATCTTTGTTGACTGACTTGAATAGCATATATTTACTACACACAAAGGTAGAGGCTAGTTGAATCAGATGACTTTCAAACAGTAGTACTTCGTAGATCCGATTTATGTATTTATTTAAACAAATAAATATTGGTAGAAAAATTAGCATCAAAATATGTTTGCGCCATATGATTAAAATTACATTGTGAAAAGATAGAGAAAGGAAGGTAATCATAGTAATTTTAATAGTTGAGATCATGAGTCAGTTGAAGCTAGACTACCATGGGAAACCTGGAAGTACTGGACGGCCGTTCCGTCCTATTGTGGGACTGTTCAGCAGTGCGCATCCATGATCGCGCCTTGCGAGATTCAAACTCAGGACCTATCACAAATTCAGTTAAACTTATGTCAATAAATGTTAATAGAGAAATAAAGAAGTCATGATGAACAATGGAAGCTAATGTTTTTTTGCGGGGGGGGGGAGAACATGACTTCACTTAATTTAATGTTTGTAAAATACTAACACTTAGTTTTGTCACTGATTTGTTTTATAAACCATAAGCTTTCGTTTGATGTATAATTCATTCCCATACTCTTTTCTTTTCCAAAGTTATTGTAATTTAAACGTAATCCTTTGTATCACATTTTTCTATCATGATGTCTAAGTTTGGTTATAATTGAATTTTTCTATAAGTTTGTGCGCTGTGGTCGTGTTAGTCATCCATTTATTTACACATCTTCTTACATTAATCTGAATTAGGAATAAATAGAGTAGTGTTCCAGTTGACTTATCTTCTCTTTCTCGCTTGTCAACCAACAAGGACAAAAAAGTTTTCATCTCTCTGACCAAGGTCGTTAGTCTCAATTCGAACTCAAAAAAAATTTCAAACACAAGGTTGAACCAGTTAACTTATCGTGTCAAGGCCTTAACATAGATGGAGTCGATTTCTCTCCTGTATATTATTGGAGAAACCGGTCAAGGATGTAACATCAATTGAAAAATGGGTTTTCTGTTTGCTTGATGCGATAAATCACTCCATCAACTCTGCTGACGAAATGGAAGACATATAAATGTCAACAGTATCATCGATTATAGTGTCAGAGAAATATTCGCATACGTTGTTCACTAAATATTTCCTAGAAGAAATAGTGATAATATTAAGGGGAGCTAAGTTTTAGAAAGTTATCTGTTGAACTAAATCTGAGTGCTAAAGTTATACAAAATTCATTTAACAAAGTAGTTTAAGCTATAGAGACTTTATCATTATCCTTTTACACCAATATACTTGTATTATTTCCACCTGTATTCAAAACACTCCTAGAAGTCACAAACGTCAGGTTATTCAGCTGCCTTATCGTTTTACTTTTCTTCAACATCAAATACTTCCATTGGAATCCTGAGCTGATCTAAGTGAGACAACCACCGAAAACGTAGAAGTATTTGACGGCGGTTCCGTTCTAGTATGGGATACCACAACAGTGTGCATCTGTGACTCCACAATAGGGAATCAAACCCAAGAACTTGATTTCGCGTACAAACCTGAAGAGTTCCATACGTTGACCAAACGACCGTCTAGTGCTTCCAGTTTTTAATGGTTATCCAACTTAGGTAGGTTTGTGACCAATGAAATGCAACAACATCTACAACCCTATCCTTACGACCAAATATTTTTTCAGAATTATGTATACAAACTCGATAAATTCGTCTTATTAGGACAGTTTCAAAGCAGCAGGAAAACATGATACGATAACAAATATCCGATGTTCCCACAATACAGAATGCCGATGATCAGGTTGGATTTTCATCACCATCGCAGTTTTCACGGACTACGCTGAAAATCTTGGTTCAATTGAAAAGTGCCTCCTTTTACTACTATCTTTGTTAAGAAAAACCTTCGACGTTACATGAATTTCTTGATAATTTTTCTTAAGTTACAGTATCCTAGCATCAACAGATAATGTAGATTTGTTAAGCGAATACAAGCCCCTGTACTGGATTTTAATAGTATGATAGAGTATAGGTATATCATGTACCTGTGTCTAGTTTTCGACTTAAGAGATCAAACAACATATGAGGAAATACTGACGAAACGGGCCACCAGAAGACGTCGATTATGCTCCTAGTCAAGATCTCCAAATCAGGGGATATATATATATATATAATTTATGTAGATTACACTTCTGCTTGATAATAGTCTCTCTACTAATTTCACTCTTCTCATTTGCTTGGCAGGTTCGGGTTTTTTATAGGGAACCCATGTCGTAACATGATCTGATTTGACTACAGAACGTCTTGTTTTGTATGAAGACCAAGGATACTATCCCACTGTTCAAATAGAAGTAAGCGTACTGAAATTGAACCTTAAACCCGAAGGATGATATGCATACATATATACATTTGAATGTTCAAACCTGTATTGGCACTATCTTTCTCTAATATTTTGTGAAAAACAAGAAACACAACAACAATAAAGAATGACATAAGCAGTTAAAGTGCATACCTTACTCATAATAGCACCACCTAGATTGGCCAATTCACGTATTAATTGTTCTTTTGTTTTTCCGCTGTCGAATGGTCCATTTGTAATGTAGAAAAACAGGCCAGTTAATGGACCAGTAACATCAGACACTGAATCAGGTGGAAATAATCGTGTACGCTTAACATATTTGTAATTTTTTCTGGTTAAGTTGAAAAACAATGGAAGAAGAGTCGATTGAACCAACAAATGTATACAAAATAGAATTATTTTTGGTGAATCTAAGCGAAACAAATGAAACCAATTGTAAAGGGGTTTAGAGCTTTTAACCATAATATTGCAAATGCGAACCCTGTGCACCAAATTCATTTCGGGCAATCACATAGTATTATTATTATTAAACGACGCAAATCAAGATTGTTGCTCGAATCTGAAAATCTAAGTCTTTATTTCACCATAACTTATCACGCTATCAACAGTACATTTAGTAGTTATGTATTTATTCTCAGAAGTAAACTTCAGCCCTCTTGGTCTACTGTTATCGGACCGATCTACTGGGAATAATACATAATAATGAATAAGTATTCGGGCTAATATGGTTTGATCAACGAGTTAGTATGACAGGCAAGCAAGAGTAATGTATTGAGGACTGGTTTGGTCATGGAGCTTTCATCGTTATTCTGAAAGACATCATCAGCACAAACTTCAGATAGAAGTAGTGTTCTGATTTCTCCACATGGTTCACAGCTTGTCCTGTAAACCTCAATCTTGATTGGTTATTGCTGACGTTTAACCTGACATTGTCTACTCCTTTATTTTGATTGTATCTCCCAATGATTTGATTGTCGGTCCTATATTTATCCATAATTTTTCTGATTGGTTGATAAATTGAATCGATTTCAATGTCTTTGTTGATTGACTTGAGTGCTAAGCTCCTAAAAATTCTATGGCGTTTTTGGAATTGCCTCTACCCAAGATCTCAACACTTTCCCAGTCGAATGTATGTGCACAGTTGTCTACATGCATTGATATAAGCGAGAACATGTCATGGCGTTTGACCGCTAATTCGTGTTCGTGCAGGTGAAGATGAAGAGGGTGTTGTCGATTGTAGTGTTTTTCGCAGTTGGAACAATTTGTTTTGTAGATGATGTTCGGCTTTTCTTCCTTTGTCATTTCGGCCTTTGTTTTGAATAGGATTGATTAGAGAGATTTTGTTGGTTTGTGTGCTACACCTATTCCAAAAGGCTTCAACAACGTCGTTGTTATTTCTGATATGTCTTTTATATATGGTAGGATGATTCATTTGTTGTTTTCTGTACTTGATTTTGTTTCTGCTGATGCGTTTGGTTGATATTTTTTGGTGAAGTTGATTGGGTAGCTGTTCTTCAAAAGATAGTCTTTAGATATTTTTGTTCATTTTTCCGCGCCGCAGGTGTGTCCTCGCCCTCTTGAACAAGAAGGTAGTGAGTAGGACTTCCCTGGCAGTGGCTGTATACGCGTGGCCATGTGAGAGCATTTCGAGAAGGAGACCTAACTCTCCCGACCTTCAGCCGTACCGAGGCACTTGGGAGCCCCTATGTGGAGAAATTTGAACACTTCACTTCTACCTGCAGCTTGTGCTGATGATGTCTTTCAGAATAACGATGAAAGCTCCATGACCAAACCAACTAGCTCAGAGAACAAAACTCTACCAAAAACTGTAGATAGGTTCATTCTGATGAGTATCAAGTAGCGTGATTATGGGCTTCCTGTAAATCACCGCTAACCACTCAACACATCGAAACCTGTTTGTTCGTATCTACATATTACATAATAATAGTTTTTTTAAAGGGAATTGATCTACTGTTCCTTCCGTTTTTAATTGCTGAATCACTTATTATATTTCATTCTTAGCTTTTGATACTTTATTATTTAGCTATTTATCTACACAGATGTTCTCTGTAATAAAATTTTTACACCAAGAATGTTAATAGTTTTGTCTTAAAATGCGACCCCTTTCCCTTCTTACTTGTGCAAATATTACGTTGGTTGTATTGTAAATATGACTGGTTACTTAATGACTATGAGTTTGATGGGTTTAAAACAGAACTGATTTTACAGAATATCGTTGCCATGGTGCCAAAGGTAGCTCAATATCGACATAAAAACAACCTTGGATCTTACAATATGAAGATTGATCATATATAACCTACAGTGACAGATAATGTCGAAACCTGGGACAAATATTTGTCGGTGCGAATAAATCAACCTCACTGATGTGTACGTTACTTTGATGACACATTTCAAGATGGCATAACATAACGTTAAAATGAGAAAGCCCAAATTCTAGTTCAAGTGAATTGTAATTGTATCTCAGTCACTTTGTAACATATGTAGGACATCCAAAGCCATACTACACAATACATGGATTAGAGATTATATTTTACAGTGCTGTTACGTGAATTTACTTTTTAAGATGTAGAAATCAAATTTGACTATTGGATTGTTTATACCATCAATGAAAATAATAAACTTACAAAAAATCAACATCATGATATTCCTCAGGTATTTTAAACTTTCTTCGATCAGGTGTCCGTGTATAATAAAGGCATTGAACCCATTCAGTTGCCATAGCACTACATTTAAACTGTCCATTACTATAATGTAATGGTCCATTTTTACAACTAGGACAATATGGTAGAGCACCGAATATCATAGCGTCAGCAACTGCATCTAATAGACGAGATAATCCAGATGGAACATGTTGTTTATTGTATTCCAATAAACCAATTAATGCTTCTTTGGATACTTGACTTTCTAGTTTATCTCTTAAACTCCATAATAATTTATTTTGTTTACGTAATTCATCCTGGGATACAATAAAACAATAAGCATTTGTCAATATATATATATATACAGAGAGAGAGAAAGGGTTGGTGTCTAAATTGAAGGCTGCAAATTACAACTCCGTTTGATTTACTTCGTTTCGTGCAACCAGTTAATATCTTTAACCCTTATACAGTAAATGTGACTCACTGCCGAGTTAATGAATCTGTACTAGTAAAACTTATATTAAATCAGTAGTAATCGTATTGATTAAATAAAAGAATAGTCAATTCATTGATTTATTTACTCACTCACTCACTAACCTGTTCAACATCTCCATTTAATTTAGGTTTTTTCAATTTTGAATCTTGTTCAGTTTGTTGTCCAGGACGTTTACGATTTTCCCTTAACATATAGATACAGAAAAATATGTAATACAAATGAAAATATATACAATATTGGTATTAGAAACACCACACCGCGTTGTGAGGTGAATAAAAAGTGGTAAACTTAGTGAATCAACTAATACTCGAATTACATAGTTGGTTGATCGAATCCAATTTAACTCAGCTGCATGTGATGTAAGTCGCTCTCTATCTTCCGTAATTTAAATGTCATTAAGAAAAGTATTGTCTATACATTAGAATACTGAGAACACTGAAGCTTGCATGAATAATAATTTGGCAAAACAGTTTTTACGTACATTCCTATCTTTCTAATAATAATTAATGTGAGCGGTTCGTAAAGGTTATTGAGTTTCAGAGTCTACAACGTTAACTGACTTAATTTAGATGACCATTGGAAAGCAGCAAGAACTGGACATCCACTTCTTTACAGTGCAAAACTCCTCAGCGGTACGCAAATATCAACCAAATGGAGATCGAACACAGGACTTTGTGACGAGCACTTCATTTTTAAGACCACTGGGTTAGTATGCAATGACTTACATTTTTAACTTTAGTCAATTGACAATAGGGCCTAACTACCTTCCAGTGCTATTTGTGGGTAACTGTCTTACACCCGATGTGGTCATTGTTTCCCATTAGAACTCCGGAAATCAGCTCTCGAACTTAACCATTAGTGGGTACAAAATACTGATACTGAATAGTTATTGCTGCGATTTTACATCCTGACCCAGTGGTTTTCTTTTCAAATGGTTTGAAAACATATGCTTTCCTACAGACTACACATTTTATTGTATTGTCACCTTGACGTAGTGGTTAATTTTCACTATTTTGATGTCCCAAATAAGCCGGAATAACTAGGATAGTCATGTCAACTGGAAAGCAATATGACTAAAAGTAGTGTTTCAAGTAAGAGATTAAGATTTTACTCGTAATTTTGCAGAGTAAGAGGCAAAAAATCAAAGAACGATACACAAAGTATCATACATTTTGCCATACTGATTTTCCGCTGAGATGTCAAGGTTTCAGAAAGTAAGGAATGATACCATGAAACCAACAACAATTACAAAAAGGTCATAAGTAACTGATGTCAAGAGATCTTCCCATGAGCGCGCCCTTCAGTAACGCTAGTACATGGGTAAGACTATTAAAAGGCATCAAATTTCAGTCCACCAAATTTTACTACCAGTATTACAGTTCATTCAACTCATCTTGAATTCATCTACCTATATACACTTAAATTCACAAATGATAAAACTCAATTTGAGTCAGAAAATAGATTTCATTAAACATTATTAAAATACACTTTATATTTTTATGCTACCTGAACACATGGCAATTGATCTGTCTAAACACTTTTTAATTGTACATATGACACATCAGACGTACAAGAGTGTAGTGCTTTTTCGAGGGGGACGCATTTGTTTATCAAGTGATTTCATAAGGACAGAAAAGGGTTACAAACACCACTTTTTATATATACATAAGCCCCGTCGGGGAATAAATGAAATAATTTACTAACAAGCAGAAATATGGTAAAAATTATGTCAAGTTGGTAAGATTATATACAACAATGTGAATATTAAAAACACAATCATAAAGAGATAATTAGCATTATAGGTGTATATAAATAGCATACTTTGAGTTTTCACGAAATGCCAAAACAACTGCATCCTGATCGACAGTCGACAATTTACGAAAACCTATCAGTCTAGAATGGATGTAAACGAGAACAACACAATCAACGGAAAATATATGCGATTTCGACCACAATATTTTACGTAAAACGAAATTAGCGAAACATAAAAGTGAAGTAGAAAAACTAAGAGTAAACAGCAGAATACTTTATTGGTTAAGTCAGTATTTTTATCTATTTAATACACACAATGAATAGTATGCATTACATAATATTTGTGTGCGAGCTGAGAAACTGCTCAGGCGTTTAAACTTAAACAGGTGGACTATTTGAGTGACCACACCAAGGGCATCTGACCTAAGAATTTAATCCGAAAGGGAGTAGAACAACGTCTGGAGACGATATTACATAGTAGCCAGTAACGAAAATGGTTACATACGCCATTCATTCTCTAAAGATACTAGAGCTATACACAATATTGCTTTGAAATCAGAGTTTTCAAACTCCCCAAGGTGAGTCTTACGCACCCACCAGCCCGGTTTCACGACCGTAGCTGCGACCTTGACGTGGTGGTCGGGCTTGCCTATCGTGATGACCCAACCGAGTTGTATTGGCTGGAACATATGTTTCTGTAGGTTCTACCATGCCAGGCAGGTCGATTGGAGAACGGTAAAACTAGAAGCAGCAACTCAAGGTCTGAGGGCGAAGTCGTACTGCTGACTGTAGAGGGATGTGACAGCAGTAAGGTGTTTCTCTCGGACAACCAGCATCTGCAGCGATGCTGCCCTCTCACAAGGAAGGAAGGGGTTAGAAAAGGTCGACCCTAAAAATGTCACACCTCATCTTACCTCACGGATCTCCACCTCCGTCGGTAAGGCCCTTTGAAGAACGGAGCTGACACATTAAAAACCCCCCACAAAAAGACCGTGAGCGACCGGCCTCAAGTAGTTGTCCCTTGGGCTTTGCGGTCGCGCTTCCAGGTCGCTAAGACCAACACTAATACGACTTCTTTTTCAGGTTCCTCAAGAAATACCCTTCCACGGTGTGGGCAGCCGGGAAGTGATATCAGCCCTCATACCCGTAACAACACACGAGGCCAAGTTGGTCACATTCAAATCCTTCCTACACCTAATACCTCTCTTATCTCCACGACTAACCCTTCTCACGCCCCTTTATCATCTCGCACCGCTAGGGCAAACGATTCGAGTACGCGGAACGTTATTCCTGGTCTTCTGAAACCATGTTCTAAACTATACGTAGGATCTTTCAACGTTCGAACACTGTGCCAAATAGGACAACAACCTTCCTTAGCTAGAAATTTAGAATCTCGCACCATCGATATGTGCTGCGTCTCCGAAACGCGCACACAGGATCCGAGTAGTGTCATTCAGTTGACCTCGCCATGTCAAAGTAACGAACCAACTCGATTTACGCTTCATGTATCTGGAAGCCCTGATGCTGCCTCTCGTGACCTCACTGGCGTAGGTATAGCATTGAGTCCTATGGCTGAACTAGCTCTCTTAGACTGGATTCCAGTAGACAGTCGTTTGTGCGCTGTCCGACTGAACGGAACAATAAGGACTCGGAAAGATAGGGACACTCGTCGTTGCCTCTTCGTCGTCTCTGCCTACTCTCCCACTGACTGCAGTTCAGATGATGTAGAAGATGGGTTTTACAAAAAGCTTTCCGATTTCTAAAAGCTAGGCGCCCGGATGTAGTAATATTGGCCGGTGACTTTAATGCTCAAGTAGGTAAACTAAACGAAAGGGAAAGACACCTGGATGGATCTTATGGTGTCGCGGCTCAAAGAACAGATAATGGCGACCGTCTGTTGCAGCTATGCTCAGATAACCGCCTGTTCCTTGCAAATACTAACTTTAAGCATAAGGAAAAACATCTTTTAACATGGCGACCCCCTAATTCGTCCCAACTTACTTACTTACTTACTTACGCCTGTTACTCCCAATGGAGCATAGGCCGCTGACCAGCATTCTCCAACCCACTCTATCCTGGGCCTTCTTTTCTAGTTCCATCCAATTCTTGTTCATTTTTCTCATGTCTATCTCCATTTCTCGGCGTAATGTGTTCTTTGGTCTTCCTCTTTTCCTTTGACCTTCAGGATTCCATGTGAGGGCTTGTCTTGTGACGCAGTTGGGTGCTTTTCTCAATGTGTGTCCTATCCACTTCCAGCGCTTCTTCCTGATTTCTTCCTCCACTGGGATCTGGTTTGTTCTCTCCCACAGTACGTTGTTGCTAATAGTGTCCGGCCAATGGATCTGAAGTATTTTGCGTAGACAACTGTTAATAAACACCTGTATCTACGGGATGATGGCTTTCGTAGTTCTCCAGGTTTCTGCCCCATACAGTAGAACTGTCTTGACATTTGTATTGAAAATCCTGACCTTGGTGTTGGTTGACAGTTGCCTTGAGTTCCAGATGTTCCTCAGTTGTAAATATGCTGCTCTTGCTTTACCGATCCGCGCCTTCACATCCGCATCAGATTCACCCTGTTCATTAATCATGCTGCCCAAATACGTAAAGGTTTTTACATCTTCCAAATCTTCTCCGTCAATTGTGATTGGATTGGTGCATTCTGTGTTGTATCGGAGAATCCTGCTTTTCCCTTTGTGTATATTGAGACCTATTGCTGCTGAGGCTGCTGCCACACTGTTTGTCTTCTCCTGCATCTGTTGTTGAGTTTGGGATAGAAGGACCAGATCGTCTGCGAAGTCTAGATCATCCAACTGCATCTTAGATGTCCATTGTATCCCGCGCTTTCCTTCAGACGTTGACGTCTTCATGATCCAGTCGATCACCAGGAGAAAGAGAAAGGGTGAGAGTAAGCAACCTTGCCTAACACCGGTCTTCACTTTTGCAGTGTAATCCATCATATGAGTTCTGTATGATATTGACTATCTTCTGAGGCACGCCGTAGTATCGAAGAAGTTTCCATAGTGTTGTTCTGTCCACGCTATCAAATGCCTTTTCGTAGTCAATGAAGTTGATGTAGAGTGATGAATTCCATTCAATTGATTGTTCCACAATGATCCGTAGAGTTGCGATTTGGTCTGTACACGATCTATCCTTACGGAATCCTGCCTGTTGGGACTCCGCCTGGAGTCCCTCCGGGGGCTACTGCCGGTCCCAAGCCCGGATAAAGGAGGAGGGTTGGGCATGGGGTTAGCGTCCCCATCCCGTAGAAAACTAACTCGCTAAAAAAACGCTAACCAGAAAATTGGTCCCGACGTTGGACCCAAATAGATCACATCACTATCAGCCACCGATGGAGGGTCTCGATAGAAGACTGTCACTCATTCTGGAGCACATGCTTAGATTCAGATCATGCCCTAGTGAGCGCGTATTCGCCTGCGTCTTACTGGACGTAGGAAAGACGCTGCAAGGGAACCTCTTAGGGTCCTACTTAATGATAGTCAAGCTAAGAGTATATTTCAGGAACAACTAGGAAAACAGTTAGGCAGCCATGTATGTGATGCCCACCCCGAGGCAGCATGGAATGATATCCGAAAAGCTGTGGAAACAGCAGTGATATCTGCTGATAAGGTAAATCAGAAGGTTAGGGAGAAACACTGGATCTCAGCAGCATGTATCGTACTGATAGATGCTCGGAAACTCATTCCACCTGGCTCTGAACATAATGAAGAGCGGAGTCAGCTTAAGCGCAAGCTGACATGAAGTCTACGCAATGATCGCGAACAGGGGTGGGTAGCGAAAGCAAGAGAGATGGAAAAGGCAGCGGCAATAGGTAATAGCAGACAATTGTTCAGACTTGATAAAGAAACCGGTATTAGGAACCCGACAGTTAGCGAAACACTCTCAGAGAAAGATGGACATATTATTCATTCTCAATCCAGGAGATTGGATCGATCGGCAGAACACTTTAGGGATCAGTTCAACTGGCCTTCAGCCACACTTCGGTTTCCCATGATCTCCAGTCAACCTGAACGGAAAGTTAATGTAGGATCTCCAACTGTTTACGAAGTTGAAAAGCCATGGGAAATCTGAAGCGAGGGAGAGCAGCAGGCCCTGACAGGTTTACTCCTGAGTTTTAAGGATGGCGGTCCAGTATTAGCAGTGAGATTAACCGAGGTCGTAGGTAGAATCTGGGAACTGGACGTAATCCCATCTGACTGGTCTCAATCACTCATTGTGCCAGTCTATAAGAAAGGACAAAAGTCCTCTTGTGACAATCACAGAGGAATCAGTTTGACTAATATAGTGTATAAAATATTAGCTTCAATAATACTTCGATGCCTAACCAAAGCTCGTGAAGAACAGACTAGAGAAAATCAGGCTGGTTTTCGACCTGGACGTGGTTGTATAGACCAGATATTCACGCTACGTCGGGTCCTAGAACACAGACACACATTCAGACGCCCCACAATGGTAGTATTTCTCGACCTTAAGGCGGCATTCGACTCTGTTGATAGTGAGGTTCTATGGCAGTGTTTGTCACTGAAAGGAGTACCAAAGAAGTACATTAACCTTGTAAAGGCTCTCTAATCGAACACAACTGGTAGAGTGAGAGCTTATGGCGAACTGTCATCAGAATTGATTACCTCAAGTGGTGCTCGTCAGGACTGTCCACTCTCTCCATTCTTGTTTAACTTGGTCGTCGACGTGCTTTTAGAGATGACGCTTTCCTCATCTGACTTTCCAGGGGTTGAACTTCTACCAGGAGATTCACTTGTTGACTTGGAATATGCCGATGACATAGTTCTATTTAGTGAAGACGCTGACAAAATGCAGTCTTCTGACCACTCTAAGCAACAATGCAAACATGTTCGGCATGCGAGTCTCCCCCTCGAAATGCAGAATTTTGCTTCAGGATTGGGTTGCATCAGCGCCCGAACTAATGATAGGGAGTGAAGTAATTGAGTGTGTCGACCGCTTCATGTATCTTGATCTTGGAAGTCTCATCAGCCCTTGTGGTCTGGTGTATGACGAAATCTCAGCACGGATACAGAAGGCTCGACTAGCTTTTGCCAACCTGCGTCACTTATGGAGTAGGCAAGATATCCGTTTACCAACCAAAGGACGTGTTTACTGCGCAGCAGTTCGTTCTGTCGTACTTTGCGGCAGTGAAACGTGCCCGGTAAGAGTAGAGGATATTCCTAGGCTACTAGTATTCGATCATAGATGTCTTCGAAACATTGCTCGTATATCCTGTAACCATCGAGTAAGTAATGCAGTTGTTAGGAAACAGGTACTAAGTAAGGATGGCAAATCAATTGATGACGTAGTGAAACTTCAGCAGTTGAGATGGCTGGGACACGTGTTACGTATGCCCAACCACCGACTGCCTCGATGTGCTATGTTTTGTTGTATAGGAGTAGATTGGAAGAAAGCTAGAGGCGGCCACACCAAAACATGGCACAAATCGATAAAGTCACTGACAAGTGGACTGAGTCATGTTGGTAGGTGCAGACTACCTGGTTGGGGATCGCGAGATGATAGCAACCGATGGTTAGAGATCCTGAATTACATACCTCAAAATCGTTTGCAATGGCGCAGATGCATCCACTCTTTGTGTTCTCCCAAATTCTAATCTTCTGAATTCTTTATGTCCCTTTTCTTTTGTCTTTCCAAATTTATTTCACTGGATTATACTCCTTAAATAACATCTTCAAACCCTAATTTTTCTGATTACTGCTTATAATTTTCCAACCCCTACCACTACGGGATTTGAATCGACAACTGCATCTCTGTGGTAATGTGGTGTGGCAACTCGAACTGATGTACGTACGTACGAAGTTCTACGTTGTTACTGACTGGCTGACTGACGCTGCATGAGGGGCAAATCAAATGACTGATTCACAGTTGTGCTTGCTTATTTTCGTATGATGTACCAAACAACACGAAGCGTTTATAAACAACCAACCAAAAATATTTTTATTCGTCATTATTTGCATTAAGAAACTCACTCCAGCTGTCATAATTCGATTCTCTTTAACTGATATGTTCTATTTAACAAACAGCATACCAAATCTCTTACAAATTATTCTATAATGCGAAGACGACAACTCGTTTCAACCAGTTTAATAGGTGAATTTGTACACTTTATACACTATATCAATCATTATAGTGTGGATAAACTCTAATCGTAGCTGTAACCTTGATGTGGTTATCGGGCTTAAAAATCGTAACGACCCAACCAAGCTACATTGGCTGGAACACGTGTTACTTTACGTCCGACCATCCCAAGCATATAGATTGGAGAGCAGTAAAACGAAACTCATCGTCTGAAGGCAACGTCTTACTTCTTATCATAGAGAGGTGTGACGACATCACTCTTTACCCCAGACAGTCAACATCTAAAGCTATCTTACCTTCCCACAACGGAAGGAGGCATCAGGAACGTCAACTGTGGAAACAAAACACACTACCTTGTCTCACGGATTCCCAAAATAGACAAACATCCTTGAAAAGTATGGAGCTAGCACCTCTAAAACTACTCACTAAAAGGTCGTGTTTGTCCAGCTCCAATCAGTTATTGCTTAAGTAATTGTAATCACGCTTCCAAGTCACTAACGTCACTAAAAACCCGATTTCCGTATCAGGTCCCTCCAAAGGAGTATCTTTTTATGGTATGGAGAACCTGGAAGTGATAACTTACCTGATGCCCTTAGAGGTGCTCGAGAACACCTCGTTTACCATTGTAGGATTTTAAGATTGATACAATCAAGAAACAGTAGTTTGATTGTTAGCTAAAAGACCTTTGGTAAATTCTTTAAACACAAGGAGACGAACAGTTGATTGACGGAGAATAAATTTATGCAAAACTATTCTTCTAAAACACGGAAAATAACAAGTATCTATAAAAAATGCGAACCAATTACTTGACACACAATAATGTAACGATTTATTATTTGCCAAGATATTTGACATTCAGGAATTATAAAGCCGAGAAACCACATAGTACATGTACGCTACATATCGGTCTCTGTCTACAACATTCGTGAAACACAGAGTCTGAGTGTAGCCAAATTAGTTAATGTGAGCCATCATCACTACTGCAAGGCGGAATATCAAGCCAAGCAGCTCGGCTCAGGCTAACTAAACGAATAATATAACTTGTTACACATGAAATTATCCAAATCAGTGATCACGAAGCACCAAACGTACGAAACAATGACACGGACAAAAGAGATCTCATTTCATGAAATCTCAAAAGCATCAACAAACACTGCAACGTTGTGCTAACTCATAGACATCATCAACATGACTGACTTTAAGGAATGTTACAGTTTAACAAAATCATAAAGCAATATGTGTGCTACATATCGGCCTCTGTCTACAACATTCGTGAAACACAGAGTCTGAGTGTAGCCAAATTAGTTAATGTAAGCCATCATCACTACTGCAAGGCGGAATATCAAGCCAAGCAGCTCGGCTCAGGCTAACTAAACGAATAATATAACTTGTTACACATGAAATTATCCAAATCAGTGATCACGAAGCACCAAACGTACGAAACAATGACACGGACAAAAGAGATCTCATTTCATGAAATCTCAAAAGCATCAACAAACACTGCAACGTTGTGCTAACTCATAGACATCATCAACATGACTGAGTTTAAGGAATGTTACAGTTTAACAAAATCATAAAGCAATATGTGTGCTACATATCGGCCTCTGTCTACAACATTCGTGAAACACAGAGTCTGAGTGTAGCCAAATTAGTTAATGTAAGCCATCATCACTACTGCAAGGCGGAATATCAAGCCAAGCAGCTCGGCTCAGGCTAACTAAACGAATAATATAATCTGTTACACAACCGTACCTTGCTACATGTTAAAACATACGAATCACTGGTTAGGTATCAACTATGCCAACTAGTGTCTTATCACAGAAACTAAGTTTAATGAAAAATCTATAAATGTACATTTTAACTACCATTATCATTACGTAAGATGAAAGAAGTCAAGGACACCGAGTGAAGCAAACATTATTAAAGCAGACTATCTTGTATTGTGGAGTGGCTGATATTTACATGAACAAAAATATGCAAGGCATTTTGTAAGTTGGTATCGCAGCCTGAAAATGAATTCACTGAAATTTATATTCACTCGAACATAAAAAATATAGATACTTTGAAAGTAGGATAAAAAACTGTTAATCACTTACTGTGAAATATCCTCTGGACACTCATTACTTTTAAGAAAACAGGATAGGTGACACATGAATGTTGGCTTTTTCCCAGATTCACATACTGTATGACGTTCCTGTGGAATTTGAATTGTCATTAAAGTTTCTTAGAACGTATAAAATGATTACAGAGTTCGAGTAAATTTTAAATATATATTTAATTGCCAATTAAACTTCCCGATTATGTTTAATTAGACCATACAGTTATAGAGATGATTTTTATCGAATACTTTTTTTGGGAGGTATAGATCAATAATAACAATGGAGAAGTAAAGTGGATGTTGATAAACTGGATTTTCATCGGCTAGAACGATTGGGATGTAGTACGTATGCCCAACTACCGACTATCTTTACATGCAATGATGGATTATTTGTGTATAGGTTGGGAGAAAGGTAGAAGTGATCAAACCAATGTGTATGACTAATTGATTTGATTCATGCTAGTGAGATAAACCTACCTCGTGGATGTGCGCATGTAAACTGTAACCAGTAGTTGAAGATATACAGTAATTTATTCATTTATTTATTTATTTGAACACATAGATATTGGTAGATATTGGAGGCACCAAACATATGCGCTACATAAATCACTCGATTTATATAGGGGCTGGGATACTGTCCGGGTGCCCAGACCAAAACAAGTGATTTTCTCAGGGACCACACCTGGAACATTCGACCTTAAGGTCTGGTCCACAAGGCAGTGGAGAAACGTAAGGAGATGCAGTCCCATGATAGCCGGTAAAAAATAATTAGTCCATACACCATTTGTTCTCTCAGGATGCTGGACCCCATTTACACCACTGGTTTGGAATCAGGGTTTTCCAACTCCCCTAGGCGGACTCTCCGTGTCCACCGACCCGGTTAAAGCGCCGGACATACGCTTTTCGTTCTCTCATTTCCGTAAACAACACCACCGCCACGAGAAGGCAGTGAGTAGGACTTCCCTGACAGAGGCTATATACGCGTGGCCATGTGATAGCATTTCGAGAGGGAGAGTGGACTCTCCCCACTCTCGGCCGTACCAGGACATTTGGGGGCTCGGTAGTACTTGGAACTCGTTTCTGTAATCATACTGACTTTTATGGCGAAAAGTAAAGCATATGAGGACAACTGGTTTTGACTAGCTGATATGACGACTTTAGTCAGTTGAGGAGCTGGATGCACCATTAGGATAATCAGACCGTTCGCTTTTCACGAAAACAACTTTCAATTTAGGATTGTAGTTTTCCTCAATAAACTGATTCACCAGGTAATTGGGTATATTCCACACCGTAAGAATATTACCCGGTCGCGATAACCGAAGTAGGTGGAAAGGGATTAGAACCTGGGACTTGGTGGCCTACAGTTGGAAACCTCAACCACCAAACTTTCACTGCAGTAAGTGAGGAGCCATGTATAGAAATAAATGGAAAGAATATGGGCAGATGATCACTGATGTCACTTTAACAGTGAAAACGACAGATTCACACTTTCGAGTGCTGGTGTGGTTTTAACAAGATGAACGGGTTGATAGAATTGTGAGAACTTATACCAGAGATTCCATCTCGTAAGCAGCACTTATCAGCAGTCTGTTTATCATTTCAACAAATCTCAAACTTTCCCATGATAAACCCTGAGACGACTCCGTTACCAATTGAGTAAGTAAATAAATTTTGACGGCAATAATACCCGTTCATAGTTTTCCTATATTCTTGTTGCCCAAAACAGTATCATAGGAAAGTACGAGAGGACGTTAGACAAGCAAGATTCCATCTTCAGATTATACTTATTGTACACATTGAGTCACCCATAAATGTGACTATTGCTGTCACAAACACAATTCAGTATTTACCTGGTCGATCCCGATTACCAAAACAGAGACAAGCTAAACATAGTAAACAAAGAAAAAGCGGTAACAGTTAAAACATTCCGAGAAAAAGTCAGAAAAAGTTGAGTCTTCTAAAAGTTCTACTTGGTTACATGAACACTACGTGTACAGTAACCCAAAAAATAATCGACAATGAAGCCTGAAAATTAGACTTGTGAGTCCATATAACAAGTACTCCTAAATGGACGAAAGCAACAAATCCTTCTGAAGCGACTTCGGTTTCTTGGAAACAGGCCTTTTACTAAATAAATAAATCGTCTTGCAACTGGCAGAAAACGACACAAAAATAACAAACTAATAAAGACGTTCTCCAAACATTACACACAAATTAAATACTCACATGCTTTAGTGGTTTCTGGCAATGAGTACACGATAAATCCCCATCTGATAACTTCACAGTGAATTTACGGGTTTTGGTTGGCTTTAAAGAACCGATTTCACTATTGATTGCAGATCTAATTTTTTCTTGATCTTCCCAACGAATGGAATCGAAATGTTTAATCTCAGCAGTACTCTCAACATGCGCTTTCGATTTCCAGAAACAATCGTAATGAAACCATCTGGGGATTTTCCCGTCGAAATTTGGTGCTTGTACCAACATGGCGATACGCAGAGAATTTTGGTCGATTTCAACTCTGCATTTATTGCACTTAGATCTGTTACTTTTGGCATAATCCACATCGAATTTATACTCTACTTGCATAGTGAAAACTTATTTAACACGCCTGGAATTTAAATGTTTGAAGATACTTATCCAGGAAAGATCTGCTTTTGAAAGACAAAATAAGAGTAAGAGCAGACAAATTTTGACCAAAAATATAACTGTTACAACTTAGTAGTTAAGTTGTCACTCCATACCATAAAAAGATACTCCTTTGGAGGGACCTGATACGGAAATCGGGTTTTTAGTGACGTTAGTGACTTGGAAGCGTGATTACAATTACTTAAGCAATAACTGATTGGAGCTGGACAAACACGACCTTTTAGTGAGTAGTTTTAGAGGTGCTAGCTCCATACTTTTCAAGGATGTTTGTCTATTTTGGGAATCCGTGAGACAAGGTAGTGTGTTTTGTTTCCACAGTTGACGTTCCTGATGCCTCCTTCCGTTGTGGGAAGGTAAGATAGCTTTAGATGTTGACTGTCTGGGGTAAAGAGTGATGTCGTCACACCTCTCTATGATAAGAAGTAAGACGTTGCCTTCAGACGATGAGTTTCGTTTTACTGCTCTCCAATCTATATGCTTGGGATGGTCGGACGTAAAGTAACACGTGTTCCAGCCAATGTAGCTTGGTTGGGTCGTTACGATTTTTAAGCCCGATAACCACATCAAGGTTACAGCTACGATTAGAGTTTATCCACACTATAATGATTGATATAGTGTATAAAGTGTACAAATTCACCTATTAAACTGGTTGAAACGAGTTGTCGTCTTCGCATTATAGAATAATTTGTAAGAGATTTGGTATGCTGTTTGTTAAATAGAACATATCAGTTAAAGAGAATCGAATTATGACAGCTGGAGTGAGTTTCTTAATGCAAATAATGACGAATAAAAATATTTTTGGTTGGTTGTTTATAAACGCTTCGTGTTGTTTGGTACATCATACGAAAATAAGCAAGCACAACTGTGAATCAGTCATTTGATTTGCCCCTCATGCAGCGTCAGTCAGCCAGTCAGTAACAACGTAGAACTTCGTACGTACGTACATCAGTTCGAGTTGCCACACCACATTACCACAGAGATGCAGTTGTCGATTCAAATCCCGTAGTGGTAGGGGTTGGAAAATTATAAGCAGTAATCAGAAAAATTAGGGTTTGAAGATGTTATTTAAGGAGTATAATCCAGTGAAATAAATTTGGAAAGACAAAAGAAAAGGGACATAAAGAATTCAGAAGATTAGAATTTGGGAGAACACAAAGAGTGGATGCATCTGCGCCATTGCAAACGATTTTGAGGTATGTAATTCAGGATCTCTAACCATCGGTTGCTATCATCTCGCGATCCCCAACCAGGTAGTCTGCACCTACCAACATGACTCAGTCCACTTGTCAGTGACTTTATCGATTTGTGCCATGTTTTGGTGTGGCCGCCTCTAGCTTTCTTCCAATCTACTCCTATACAACAAAACATAGCACATCGAGGCAGTCGGTGGTTGGGCATACGTAACACGTGTCCCAGCCATCTCAACTGCTGAAGTTTCACTACGTCATCAATTGATTTGCCATCCTTACTTAGTACCTGTTTCCTAACAACTGCATTACTTACTCGATGGTTACAGGATATACGAACAATGTTTCGAAGACATCTATGATCGAATACTAGTAGCCTAGGAATATCCTCTACTCTTACCGGGCACGTTTCACTGCCGCAAAGTACGACAGAACGAACTGCTGCGCAGTAAACACGTCCTTTGGTTGGTAAACGGATATCTTGCCTACTCCATAAGTGACGCAGGTTGGCAAAAGCTAGTCGAGCCTTCTGTATCCGTGCTGAGATTTCGTCATACACCAGACCACAAGGGCTGATGAGACTTCCAAGATAAATGAAGCGGTCGACACACTCAATTACTTCACTCCCTATCATTAGTTCGGGCGCTGATGCAACCCAATCCTGAAGCAAAATTCTGCATTTCGAGGGGGAGACTCGCATGCCGAACATGTTTGCATTGTTGCTTAGAGTGGTCAGAAGACTGCATTTTGTCAGCGTCTTCACTAAATAGAACTATGTCATCGGCATATTCCAAGTCAACAAGTGAATCTCCTGGTAGAAGTTCAACCCCTGGAAAGTCAGATGAGGAAAGCGTCATCTCTAAAAGCACGTCGACGACCAAGTTAAACAAGAATGGAGAGAGTGGACAGTCCTGACGAGCACCACTTGAGGTAATCAATTCTGATGACAGTTCGCCATAAGCTCTCACTCTACCAGTTGTGTTCGATTAGAGAGCCTTTACAAGGTTAATGTACTTCTTTGGTACTCCTTTCAGTGACAAACACTGCCATAGAACCTCACTATCAACAGAGTCGAATGCCGCCTTAAGGTCGAGAAATACTACCATTGTGGGGCGTCTGAATGTGTGTCTGTGTTCTAGGACCCGACGTAGCGTGAATATCTGGTCTATACAACCACGTCCAGGTCGAAAACCAGCCTGATTTTCTCTAGTCTGTTCTTCACGAGCTTTGGTTAGGCATCGAAGTATTATTGAAGCTAATATTTTATACACTATATTAGTCAAACTGATTCCTCTGTGATTGTCACAGAGATGCAGTTGTCGATTCAAATCCCGTAGTGGTAGGGGTTGGAAAATTATAAGCAGTAATCAGAAAAATTAGGGTTTGAGGATGTTATTTAAGGAGTATAGTCCAGTGAGATATATTTGGAAAGAGAAAAAAGGGTCACTCGATTTTGACTGTCTGAGGTAAAGTGATGTCACCTTTTTGTATATTATGGAGTGAATGTTTGCCCTTCAGATGATGAGATCTAGGTTACCATCAACTCATGCGCTTTTGTATATTTAGAAAATATTCAAGAAAATAATTACTAAAAAAGACATCTACAGGAACCATTGTGCCGTCTACAATACCTTTTTTCTTGTCTGTACTTTGTAGAAACAAAAGTTATGGGAGTTGGAACCAAGTACCAAATGTATTATGTTCGGAAGAAATTCATAAGAGCAAAACTAGTTATTAGATAGACATAAATGACAGTTAATCACTGTTAAAGAACTCATACATTATTCTTTGGACATTCACAGGCCAAATGGATATAGGACAAGCATGCAATGCATTGTTGCATATTTTGTGCCGACAACTTAATATAGTAACCAAGAAATTGGTAGTGACGTTTATTACCAAATAACAGACCGCTGAATGATAAAGACTACTTAGACTTAACTCTAAGTGTGATTTGACAGAGCTGACTAAGCACCCCATGAACTACTGACCGGCTACGGATGCAGTTACGACACCACAGATGAACCTTAATATGTAATGTCTCGGTTGGTCTTAACTCACTTATGAGTAGAACCCAGTTAGCATTCAGATAACTAATATTGTGAGTGCTCTAGGTAAATCCTAACAAAGATTTCCATTGTAATACATTACGGGTTATTATTATGCCAAGTAGTGACAGTGACTATGAACTGTCCTGAAAAAAACGACGATATAAAATTCAGAGTAGCTATAAAACTATCAACCAAGACGCATTTTGTTTTTCCTTATTAATCCAAATATACAGATTAATAGTCCAATACAAGTCAGGAATTACCCATATCTTAAACACTTGACTACATTTCCACTTTATAGTCGTTGGACAGTTTAAATTTTGTTTTGACTACAGAAACAGGACTATAGAATATTTCGAAGAACGAATCCGCGAACAAACTCATCATTACATATGTAGCTATAGCTACACTATTGTGAGCAAGTAATGACCATTAAATTAACAACAATCACATCCCAAAGTAATAAGTGACCATGATAAGAACCTCCGATAGTTCATATTTTACCTCTAAACTAAATACCAATCAATATGATAATTGGTAAATTACTTGATCGTGAATGCAAGATTCTTAAGGCATTCGAATTGACTGACAGAAACCAGAGCGATGGACTTAAAATGAGGTCCTTAATGGGGAATATGAAGTAAGAAAAACCGGAAATATAGTAGCCATAACGAAGTACGACACTGCAGGATAACTTACTACCGTATTCAAATTTCAAATCAGTGACCACGTTAACAATTGAAAACGTCCTACCAGTGACCTTCAAAATCACTGAGGCATTAGCAATGTACTTTAAGATTTTTAAGTCATTAACTGGTAAAAAAAGGATGCTTTTTACATATTGTTGGCTAGAAATCAAGTAGTTGACAAAACTGCATAAGAGACACTGATTTCCAGGACGTATTAACTGAATGATTACCTGACTCATGTTTAAGCCATCTTCCGGACTTCTGTATTCACTCTTTTGACTACGTCACTAGACGTAACTGCAAATTCAAAATAACTGTTCATCTTTAACTATAGTCTGTGTGTAACAGAATGGACTGAGAAAATCCGATACAATTTTATGGATCGTCGTAACCTTGTGTTCTGTATGTGAGCTTAGTTGTCTTTGTAAAACCGGAGTAAAATGTTCTAATATCTCAGATTCAGGCTCAGATATGTTTATTAGTAAGGACAGAAGGCCTACAGTCTATGTTATTCCTTATATAGTATACTTCTGTGTCTAGTCGGCGAGACTAATTTATGGACGAACCAATTAGAAGCGTTTGAGGGATTTCAAGGTCACGGCGCCAACTTCAGTACATCGAAGATGCCAAAGGTAATCGGAGTTTGACAACGCTTTAACCCGTAACACCTAATATGAATCTTACCCACCAAGTGGAATCAAAAGACAGAAGCGAGAAGGTTCGAAGATATATTTGATAGGCTATCAATATATCGAGGATCGTCTGATCAAATCTGGCCAGCGATTGCAGGTGTTGTTGGGCACGGCGTTCCCACTCGTGATCTGGTGCCGATGCATGACCGAGCGCCTTCAGCTAGGCGAGTTCATTAAAACTAATTTGGTCAGCATCCAATGCTGAAAACTTACAGAGCTATTTATTTTGGGGATTTATTTACCGCTACAACATAATGCTAACGTTCACAGGGGATTTCATGCAAAACGTGATAATTGGGCAGCTGTAACCAATAAAATGGCGAGACTATAATTTGTGGAAGAAACAATCAGATATAAGATAACAGATTTCGGATTTTGGCACGAAAGTCTTTCATCCATTTGGTTAAATAGAGTTTTGACATATACCATAAGCTATAATATTATAGCTGATGTCAGTTCGTGGTAAAACCCCCGTACATAATTCCTAACTATGGCAAATTATGACAGTTATTGCGAACTGAATAATAAAAGCACTCGTAACACTGGCTGCAGCCAGGTACTACAATACATACGGATAATTGCAGAGCGTACAGACTCATGCGTAGACTTGGTCATGTGCATCGTGTTGTTATCCATAAGTGGCATTTTGTGCACTCAACAGCTGAAGTGCCCACAAACAATATTGGAGCTATGTGGTCGAGGCTGAAATAGCTTTTGTGACCTTATCATGGTTCCAGAGACCGACTATTCTGTAGCCATATGGATGATTTCCTCTACTGCACGGATTACGATTTTAGAACTTCTGAACCTCTTTTTTACTTTGACAGGTTTTTGAACCATGTATAATAAATGTATCCACTTTATTTCTTTGCTTTTGTGTAATACATTTTTACTCTATGGTGACTGTTTGCTGACTGGCTAATATTTCTCAAGGTCACACAGATTCGTTCCAAGGCCGTCCGTAAATTATAGTCTCGCCTACTCCGTGTTAAAACCTAAATGCCACAGGTGTTTTGTTCGTTCTTGGCTTTTGTATTCCCCATCTCTATCCTTCGAGATGTTCCGACCTAGTTATAATAAAAAAGAGAGGATATATTGGGTTCAAAATCACTTCTTAGTATTCTATGCATTAAAAACGGATTACCTTTTAAGCTGCGATAGGACAGAGAAATGTGGTCAACCTTTTAAGCCCCACTTTGTATGGTAAACCCCGGAGTTCTGGAAATGTACGGGTAGCCGCCCTCTGTACCTTTTCCAGGATATCTGAGTCACTTTTTAAAGAGGGGCTTGCATTCCGAAAGCAGTTCTCAAACTTAGTTCTCACTAAGGTTGTGCATACTGCGGTGAACCTGGTAGTATCTAACTTGGCGAGTGTTTGTCTTATAGCCCATAGGGTTCTAAACCCTTTAGATGCAGCTTCCCGGTCTAAATATCATGACTCACTGTCATCCCCTGATCACTGTGAGACCAGATCACGGGTACAGACACTTCCCCTACGCTTTGCTTATTTACCCAATGTTCATACAGACACAGTTTGCAGCGTTGATGGGCATCAGCCACTCTTCAGAACAGTTAACCACACTATTTAAGTGTGCATGAATTGTGCAGGCATCTGCGTCCCCTATTGATTTACCGCCAGATTTATACATCACCACCGTGCAATAACACTTGGGACTCAACTATACTTGAGAAGTGATATAAAAAGTAAAGAACCTGGCACAGAATCTTGTGGTACTGTGGTGTTTGAATAAACTAATGAATCTTTTGTACTTCTCGAATGCTTGATTTCGAATTTCAAATACAAAACATTTGTTGATTCAATTGCGTTATTTCTGGGATTCTTAGTTTATATTATAATTCGAGCACTCCTAATTATCACAGTTACTCCAATAAATACTGGTTCCCAGGTGAGTTCTTCGATTTACTCCTACATTCTGTCTACAACCTACTAGGGAATCCTTAAGTCATTTTAAAAGAAGTCCGGCAATACCAAGATTTTCTATATAAAAATGAAGTGTTTTATCCACATTGCGAATTCATATTTTTGCACAAACATGAGGATGAATACTCAGAAATATGTTTCGTCTAGGGTAAACCGACATCCGAATATGTTTTTATGCATTCGTTTCCGATTAAATACTACGATTTCTTCTTACATTTTAGGACAGCTACTTGTATGATGATCGTAGTTTTAAGTTTTCACGTTTAGTAAACGATGTGCATTGTATAGATTTTACAAGATTTATCAAGTATTTTGACGTGTGCATGATTATCTGTCTCATCTATAAACTGCTTGATCAGATATCAACATAGACGTCTAACATGTATCTTATTTGCGAATGAAGTGATGAAGACAATACTAAACAAGTAATAAAAACGATGTTAAACGGATATTTATTTGTAAAAGCTGAAAGATCCATTTTGAAGGTTTTATGTGTTGGTGAAAATCCCTCCATGTATATACTTGTACTTTATTCCTATTGATCGCATTAGTTGTACATTGTTGTATTTTGATTACATTTGAATTGTTAATATGTGTATTTTTGTTATAGTTTTTGTTTTTATTACGCATTCACTAAGTTTGTGTTTCTTCCTGAACTGCATCTGCGTTGTTTTACTTGACACTTGTTCTTGGCGGTAGCTATATTGATTTGTTCCTCCTGTTGTGTGTGATCTATCCAGCCAGGATAGAATAACGTTGATATTTTGTGATTGATTTAATTGATTGAACAATCATTGGTTGAATAGCCGGGTGATAATATTTGTTTAGAACCGCTAGTTACCCGATTACTTGTTCTGATTTCGACGGGAAAGGGCGCGTGTCTAAAATCCCTGGTCGGCTATTCTTCAACATCCAAACCGTAGTTTGGATCCTACAGTTCTAAACAAGTATTACTTGGCCGAAATCCTTTGGTTTTCGTTCACGGATTTTCTGGAAATAATTGGTCGTGTCGCTTATAATGCCAGTTAATCGTCGAAGGAGATCAGGCTCAAAGTTCGTCGATGTTAACGAAGAATCCCCTATTGTCAAGCAAGTGCCTTTTGACGTCCTTAAGGGTCATGGTTCAGACTTAAATAGGGTTAATTATCATGGCAGTGATTCTAGCCTTAATTCGATGTCAGATGATGTTAAAAATCTTAGTTTAAAGGAGGAGCAAAGGCCTGAATTACTAGGAAAGAGCATGTCGCCTATAGTCCATGTTGTTGGCCCAGAGCTACCAAAGGTTGAACTGAGTTATTTCGATGGAGAGCCAAGAGCTTATTGGAAATTTATAAGGCAATTTGAGACGTATGTAGCGTCAAGAGTCACGGATGATAGCCAGCGCTTACTCTATTTGATACACTACTGTAAGGGCAAGGCTAAAACAGCTATTGAAGATTGCGTCATGATGGAGGCATCCTCTGGCTATAAAAGAGCAAGGGAGATTTTAAAACGTTTTTTCGGACAGCCTCACGTAATTGCTCGAGAAACACTAGAGGACTTATTCAGTGCTGTAAATTTTGAGTATATTGACGGGGACCAACTATCAAATTTGGCCATTAAGATGGAAAACTGTGCCATGGTCTTGGAGCAGATGAATTATACTTCTGATCTAAATTCCTTAGTTACGTTGGAAAGAATAGTGAGACTCTTGCCTCAACCTATGCAAGCCCAGTGGGCGGACTGGGTGGATAAATTGACTGAAGATAACAGGGAACCGACCTTCGACGAGCTCACTCACTTTATCGCATCGTGTGCGAGAGTGGCTTGTAGTAGATTTGGACGGTTAGCAAACCGTTCTAGAAAAGGACATAACGTAAAGACGAACTGTCACGTGCAGTCAGAGCAAGGGAATAGTTTGACAATGAAAACTAAATGCAGTATGTGTTCGTATGACCATGCCATTGATAAATGTCCACAGTTCTTAGCGCTTACAGTTCAAGACCGATGATCTCACGCTAAAAGCAAGGGTATATGTTTCGTCTGTCTTAGACAAGGACATAAGGTTAATGAATGTAAGATGACAAGCCTCTGTAAGGTTGACAGTTGCGAGAGGAGACATCACGCTCTGCTGCACACTGACTCGACAAGCAACGTCGTAAATGATAAGCCATCATGCCCGGAATATAGGAGAAGAGTTGTTAATCATACCAGTAAGATACAGACATTAGAGAACGAAATACCTAAGCCTTATGACGTAGAGTTTTCAGATGCTTATTCAAGTGATAAATCATTATCAGTAGACGACAAGGTGGCTATAAAGATTGTGGAAGGTGGCACGCGCTTCGGCAACGGTCATTTTGTAGTTTCTATACCTTGGAAAAAGAGTCCAGATATGAAAGTGGATAACTATGAAGTAGCAAACCG